ATGCATTGCTCCTGACCACAGCTAAGGTTACACATGCATGGCACAATCTTGTGCCCTGATAAATATTCTGCCTTTTCARTGGGTTCGTTTCTCAGGATAATGAGCTGTGTGGGAAAGAGTTTACTAACTCAGGTTACAGTGCTCCTGGTATCTGGATTAGATTGGGTATTATCATGTGAAACTAGTTGTGTACAATAYAGACATCTGAAATGCTCTGCCATCAAAATCCAGTTAGGCTAGGCAATGCCTCTGAGAGTGTGACTTTACAAAAAAATGCCAGTGTTTATGTATTTATTAGGCATTGAACATTCAACAGATTTTCTGGGATTCGAAAGTCAGAATTCTCTCATTTGTATTTATCCTTGAAAGTATCATTGCCATTCTCTGCATTACCAAAATATTAAATAAAATAATTTTGATTGAATGAAAATCCTAGCTTAGAGCAATGAGGTATTTGCAGGTTTTGAAGTGCTGTTGATAATGTGTTGGCATTGCAAATGTCAGTGTTAATGATCTGACAGATAGAAATTTATAAGTAAGTTTTTTCTCTAAATAGAGTAATCTTCTGATTTTCTCTAGTTAATATGAATTGTTATTTCATGTTCAGAGATGTTAAAACTGGCAGGCTGGGATTCCTCACATTTTTCTGTTTGTGATTCTGGTGCTGATAGCCTAACAATGAACTTCATTACTGAGGACTGCTAGGAACTTCTAGTCTGAGTATTTCTAAAAATGAGAAGTAATTGAGTCTYAGCACTTAAAAATGCCTTGTGTGCTTTTTGAAAAGACACCACCATCTGTGTTGTGTCGAATTAATTGCAGTTATTTCAGTGTTGTCTGTGTCTGTCCGGTAAGAACAGAAAATAACATTTTAATTTCAGGGATGTCTGTGGGTTGATTTTTAACCAATTGGAAACAGGATAGCTAAAACACTACCTTTACCTTTGCTCTTRTTAGGTTTTGAGTCCAGAATTGAATGGAGTATATTCATAATGTATATTCATCTCAGCATTGTGCTTGCTGTGCAGATTTCCAGCTGAAATACCTTGGTCCTTAATTCACACCCTATGTTCAAGTACCCCAGGAGGAACTCTGCATTAAATTGGTTTGAGATTTTGAGGTTTCTGGTATATTTACCAGGACAGACACAGGTTCTGCTGTTCTGTGAAGTGGTAGCCTGATCCTTTCAGCCCAGCAGTACATGTAGACATTGCATATATCAGAAGGCTTTTAGGGATTGTGCCAACAAATTCCAGAGGTATTGTTTATTCAGGGACAGAACTGAGAATYACTGCTCAATTGTTATGTATATCAGGGCCAAAACAAGATCAAACATTTTAACTTTCTAGGCTAACAACTCCCAAATGTATTTGTTGAAAGACTGATGGACAAGGAGAGGGTGAGGCTTTGGCCAGATGTGGACTCAGCTGTGTGTGATCAAAGTGTGAAAGCTGCCCAGCTGTGCACCATTCACACRCTGGGCCAGCTTGGCCTGGGCTCATTTACACCCCATGTTTCTGCCCCTTCTGCCTCCTCAGCAGATATGTGTTTACATCAAGTACTTGAGTAATGCTCTGTGACAAAAAATAGTACGGTGACGCATGGAATGATGGCTCTAAGAGTTGGGAGACTGAAATGTCTCCTTTCACAGCATAAGTGAAGGTTGTATATTGCAGATACACTGCTTCTGTAAACAATCCAGGSTAAATTTGAGCTGAGATGAGAAATGTCCATGCAGGTGTGTGGAAGTAGAGATGTGGAACTATACTATATTTTGGAACTATATTTTGTCTTACAAAATTTGAATCAGTTCAGGTTGGGTACGTCCCTGGAGAACCCATTCCCCCCTTTGTACACATTTTAAKATGTTTATAAAGAAATAAGACATTCTAATTTTTCCATGCCCTGTGTGCATATAAATACTGTGGATACGCATCTTAGCACTCCATTACAATGTTTTCTTAAAATTCTGCACAGTTGGATTTTGTTTAATCTGTGCTGTTTCATGCCAGAACAAAAGACTATGGATTATTCTATTACATATAGTGGAATTCAGAATTTATTAGGCATTCAGAAGTGTCTATTTGGAGGTTTTGGTGAAATTGCAGATTTTGTAGGTGGAAAGTAATCTTTAGCTCAACACAGTTCRTAATTGTTTAGAGGACATAAAGTTCAGCATTTTAACTAGGTCTATATTCAGATTAGATTTAGTACTTTTATAGCAATCAAAAAATACTGGAAATGTACACAAACATTTGCAGTGCCAAATATTCCTGCTGGTTCTAKGTTATTTATTGCCTCTTAYAGRGGTAACTAAAGCTTCTTTTCCATGTCTGGAAGTGTTCGAGGTCACTTGGCCAAGGCCRGGTTGGATGGGGCCCTGAGCAGTSTGATCCAGGGAGTGGCACATCTGTCCGTGGCAGTGGGGTTGGAACTGGATTATCTTTARACTCCCTTCCCCCCCAAAGCTTTTCTATGATTYTTCTTGACCTGGAGGCTGCTAATCAAATCATAGTGYACTTCTAAACCATGCAAAAATTAAATGGTCCTAACAAATTATTCTCTGAATTATATCTGGATATATTAAATCTTCAGGCTTGCTTTTTTTGCACAGCAAATGTTTCCTGATAGCATTCAGTGTTTTGAGGAGGATGAAAAAAAAGTGAGACAGATTTCTGTGTCTTGCCACATCTGTTATGTGAAAAGTGGAATTTTGAGTAACTTGTGTATGGTTAGTTGATTCTGTGATTTTTTCCCCCTTGCTCCCTTTGTGCATAATATTATATTTTTCTATGGTATGATGAGTTACAGCAGCTGCCTTGCAATCCTTGTATTATGGAACTTCCATGGGGCACAGGGTATTTTAATGTTTAGTTATGCCTGACCCAGATAATACAAAAATGAGAAAAAAGGAATTCTATCCAAGTAGTTACAGACAGTAAAATAAAATAGAATGGACTGGAGCAGAACATTTCAGTGGGAAGGGACTTCATTGACCATGTAGTCCAAGTGCCTGATCCCTTCAGGGCTGACCGAAAGTGATCTTGCACATTTGTATTATGCAGAAGCCTTTGCAGGAAAACCAGAATTAATATATAAATTTTGGTCTGTGCAGCTGCTGAAAACCCACCAGATATAATGTAACCATTTTAAAAAGCTGAACACCTTCCTTTTGCCCCGAAATATGAACAGTTTTGGCATTGTAATTTTGACSATATTTGCTTTCCAGTGCAAAAAATAGCAAAAGATTTCTCCATATTCAGCAAGCTTTGCAGCTACTAATAGCTTTTCTATAAGCTCTTAAATATTTTTTCGATGTCTCCACTTCAAAAATTTATTAAATGTAGGAAGGAAAGGGAAATAAATTGSACTGAAAGAATATAGAATTGGCAATATTATCACAAAAACCCCAAAGTGAAGCCTTAGTGCTGCATTTCTGTCTGACACTTTTGTAGGTACTCTCTCGTTACCATGTGGTCCTTAAAATGCATGAGTCTGTTGTTTAGGAATATATTTGCCATAGCCATAATCTTCAAAAAAGGCCTGTTACTGTGAATACTCATAAAACTAAACMATTTGTTTCCACCAGGATGAAACGCCCTGAGCTCCAAAAGCTGTCAGTGTGAATCTCAGGTAATTCTCACCTACACAAACCAGACTTCTATGTTTAAATTTCAACTTCAGCAATGCCAATGCAAACCTGAACTTGAGGGGATTGTATTTGAGAATGGAATGGAAAGTCTTGAAGCTTTCTGTGCTATTAATGTATAAAGAGTTCTGTCTCTTGGTTTAGGCTGAAAGCAGTTCCTGCCTTTGTTCTTAGTAGTTTTTTTTTCCAAATTTTCAGATCTTAACTAAATCAAATGCTATTTTTTTTCTCATCTTTGAAATGTTTCTTTTCTAAGGAAATTTTTGTTTTAAAATAAGCTCTAATGACATTGTATTTGGGCACATGTACTTAAAAATCTTCAAAGAGTTTTTTTAAGAGCACACATTCCTTATATCTTTGCCTGATTGCAAAGCTGCGCAGCAGTGAATGATTTAGCTTCATGAAGTTCAAAATCGTGACCTCTACAAAATGAGAAATACACAAGCTGCAGTTTAGAAAGAGAAATGATGTTAAAATGCTGATTGCTCCAATTGGTCTTGTAATATCTTCTTGCTTGTTTTACAGAAGTAAAMACTCTGACACTGCACCCATCGACATTTGGGTTTCATAGCAGCTGGAGTCAGTGACTTCAYACTGGAAAAGGTTGGTTTTGAGACTACAGACCATGACAGTTTGTAACAGTGGAGGAACTTGTGTGTTTGTGGGAATACATAGCCATGTCTACTTGTAATACAATAATTAGACTTGTTTGTGTCTATGTATGCACAGGTTTAACCTGCAGCTGACATGACATGGAAAGCATTTAAGGAATTCTTTAAGATTTGTGGAAAAGAAGTGATTCGGAAAAAATATACTAGCAGTTACACCTATTGGAAAATGAGAATAGTGTGCTTTTTAAACAAGAAGCATTGTTAGTGGGCCAGTAAAATATAGTTTTGTGATAGCTAATTTTGGAGTCACTGATGCCTTGAATCTTAGGCTTGGGCAGTTCCCCATTAACTTAGAGTCAATGCTCCCCTTTTAATCCTGTTAATTTTACCAAATTACTTACATTACTAATTAACTCAATCACAGTATTTTAATTGCATTCATAGTAATTTTAAAAACAGTTGTTGTGGATAGTTAATTTAATTATATTTTATCAGTAAGAAAGCGTTAGCTCTGCTGTGAGTGATAGCCAGCAAGGCCATCTGCAATGCCTTTCAGTTCACTCACTCTGAATTGTTCAGATAAAAGCTGTCAAGTGCTGCCTAAATAGGGAAGGAACTGTGGTAGGGCTAAGTGCAGTGGAGGACACAAATGGRGCATTGATTCCAGGCTTGCTGGAGGGTCTGAGCTGTTTCCTGCAGCACTGAACCTTTTAAGAGTTTTCATTGTTTCCCACAAAGTATTAAAATGCGAGTGTCTGCCATTCAGGATCTCAGGGAGGATGAAAATGAGAATGAGGAAGAAGAAGAACAGGTGAGTTAAACTCTAACAGTTTTGAAAAGTACTTCATTCCTTCTGTTTTCACTCTTTAGGACAATAAATGTGGAATGATTACCTTTCTCTTTCAGGTCTTCCTCAAGCCTGTTATTGAGGACAGAAATATGGAACTGGCCCGAAAATGCAGTGAATTAATAAGTGATGTAAGTGATGGTGACTATTTACATCCTCATATTTRSAATTATTTTTTCAAATGGGTTTATATTTATGAYAYATATTKTCTCRAATGTGTRTAGTGTAGCATGTGCCCRTCCAAGGCTCAAATAATARAAGCACAAAAAAGAAAAGAAAARYACAGATTACTGKGGTGCTGTAAGTTAKCAGCCACAGAAGAAAGAACTTTCCAGAGCACTTGGATGGTACAAAGCAGAGGCCTTAGAAAGGAGAGTGTTTCAAAATGTGGGTCTCAGGCAGTGTCTGCCATGAGAGCACCTTGGCTGTTTTTTTCAGGAAAAWGCAGTATTTTTTCTGGTTGTAGCCTAATCCTATGCAGTTTAATTGCTTTGAACTAAACTGGTTTCCAGCATGCATAGCTGTAAGGAGGGAGGTTAAAAATAGAAGACGAATTTTCAGTGTTATCTTTTGTTCTCTGCTGATAGACACCCAAAACTGCTGAGCATATTGTTATTGGCAATGCTTATAGGACAAATCCACTGAAATGCAAGAATATCTTCAAAATTTATTTAGCTAGCTAATTCTTGATTTAAATTACTATAGATTTTTAAAACAGTTGATCAGTTATAGAAACATACAAATATCATAGATCAGGTCCAAGACATTTGAAATCGGAATAGATCTGCTTGCTTCAATATAACAGCATCAGATTTACCTTGATGGAGGTTTATTTTTGTTTCCCTCTGCGACAATGTGTCTGAAAAGTAACTTTGTCCCTTCGTGTGCATGGATGTAAAGAGTGATATTTCTCCTCTGAGAAAGCTGGTTGGCAGGAGAGGAGACCTTTCTGAGGAGAGAGTGACTTGCTTTGACAAATGTTCTAAAAAAACTGAGAAGAGGTGTCTGGCTCTTGTTGTAATCTGATATTTGGATTCTGGTTGTTGATTTAATGGGAATAGAACATGCAGAATCTACATTTTAGGTACAAACTTTCCKGGGTTGTGTGTCAGAAAAGAATAGTTAACTCAGAAGAACAGGATCTGGGATGTATAAAGTGTTAGAGTGCTGACTTGAAAGTGTGGCTTGACAAGGTCAGAGTTTTCTCTTTGTCCATTGAAAATTGAAGTAGTTCAATTTTCACAGGAAGAGTGCTGAAAATTGGATAGATTCTTAAGGGAAGCTACCATGATGGCTCCTTGTAAACTCAAGCCACTTTAGGAAGTAGTAGAGATTAATAATATTTTTACTGATRGGTATATACATGCTTTCTTTGGGGTTGAAAAAAGGGCATATGGTGCATTAAGTGCCTGTCAACTCTTGTAAAGGCCAAAATGAAAATGGACCTGGAGCACTTATATGACCCAAAATGCATTTATTTTTGTCCATGCAGCTTCTTTTTAAACATGGTCACCATTCTTAAAGGGAAAAACTGTTGAAAAATGCTGAAGACATCTTTAATTGAAAAGGAATTATTACTGTGCTGTGTACCCATTAGGAGTAATGTTGGTTGTGGCTGTTAATTAATGGATAAATGGAGTGGCTGTATTTTCTTTGATTTTCTGGAGGGGCTTGAGAACTAAGGTGAATAACTAAGCCAGGCTTCTACAGCTTATAATGGTTCAGGGATGTGGGCTTTTGCTGAAAACTTGTGATGCATTTAGCCTGCAAGTGTGTTAGATTTTCCTTGAGATATGTCAGGCATAATGGCAAAGTGTTATTAATGCTTTCAAAGCAAGAACAATATGTAATGGTCCAGACCAATCTAATTTCAAAAAAGAGGCTTTGTGTTTAAAAATAACATCCAGCTTTGGGGCCTTATTCAGCCTCTGATGAAATCAGTAGGTTTTTCTTCATTGGCTTGAATGGAATAGAGCATGGATTTTGTCTCCCAGAATTTTTGCTGTAAGGGAATTTCTTAAAACCAGTGATGTCCTTTGTGCTTGGGTACAAACTCCTCACCTTACACATTTCATTGTGGAGGCCAATAAATTGCAAGGAGTTTGCATTCTTACCTTCAATWTATGACTTGTTGACTTTCAGAACTTTTTATATATTCTTTATCCTTTTTAGCACGAGCCTTTGCACAAACTCCCGTTTCTGTGGATTTGTGATTGGTGTACATCTGAACATTTAATGCGCACAGTGGTTTTCTGGCACTCACAATTTGGCCCTCAGATGACCTTGGGGGAGCAGCCTGTGTCCTTGCTGGCCACGAGACTGGGTGATTGTGCTTTTCTGATGGTGGAGCTGTCAGCACAACCCCTCCAGCAGAATGCAGAGCCAGGAGCGCACATGCCTGAGATACTGGGGTTGTGTTACGCTTGCCCTGCATTCCTTGCAGGCTGCCTTTAATCTGGCAGTATGGTTTTGAARAAGTGTTACAGTGGCAGCCCTTGGTGTGTCTGTAACTGTCAGCCTTGAGCTGTGTGTAGGGGAAGTTGGGAAGCGTTTATGTGCTCTGGTTCTTGAGAAAATCCCCAGTTTCATTTGAGGCTGGCAGATGTTTGTTCTGTGGCTGTGATACCCCCTGGATTGTTTCTCTCGACAGTCATTCCATTTAATCTCCCTCTATTATGCAATTTTATTCCACAGATGTTTTCAAAACTGTCATGTGTGTTTGATTTATTTGAATTGCCTTCCTCTCCAGGCCTTTTCTCTTCCATGTTGAAATTGAGCATGTCCATTTGCTTGCGGTATTTTCATCTCTTCTTCGTTTTGATTATGTGGTGTGAGGTTGTCAATACTGTTGTAAGCAGAGATGGGAGCAATTATACAAGATAATTGACCAAACTATCATAATTCTTTTTGATAGAATGGCAGACATTCTGCCTTCTGAAGATTCTGCTGAATTTTGATAATGAGTGGTACCAGTGCTTCTTATCCCCTAAAGCAAAAAATAGAACTACTTGCCATTCATCTGTCCTTGCAGAGTCCGACTTTGCTTTAGGATGTCTCTGTTATGAAGCAAAGGCCAAAAAGACCTAGTCAAGAGTGGAAATGGTGTGCCAAACCATTGGTTTTGACCCCCTAATCCTGGGTGCAGCTGTTGCCCTGGACTCACCCTTACTAGTCACAGCCTCTGACTCAAGCAGACCTTGAGGCTGGAATTGCTGGAGAAAATACTATAGAGTAATAATACTGTGTCCCTGCCATCTCCCCTTGTTTTTTCTGGGTTCCTACAGCCACAAAGATTCTGTATTAGATGGATCTGTGGTCTGATACAGTCGCATGAGAGATTGTAAATTAAGAAATATAGGGTTGGAAAGTGAATCCTTAAAGGAAAGGGGTTCCCTTTWGTTCTAGCATAAAAGCTAGATAAGAAGGTTCAGATATTTTGATTGTTTTTCCAAACATAGATGAGTATTTTAGATATGACAGTTCTACAATGGATCTTGGCATGATGACTGTTGACATAGTTACACCATTGATGTTAAGATTATTAAGAATAGTTTTTTGAGTATATTTGTATTAAAGTTAAATGAGCATGTGTCCCTGAATAAAAGGAATGGTGGCTGCTTGGATTAAGCTGTTACATTGGAGTTTTTCCTTTAGCCCACAGTCTCTCTCTGTGTTTCCCACTGTAAAAGGCTGATGGGACAGGCCATGGGTGAGATGAGTTTTCTTGCTAAACCAGGAAGCTTCAGCTTAAAGCTTGGATGCCCTTGTTTTATGAAGTTGATCTTTCCATACAATATCCATTAAGAAAAAAATGCAGCTTGAACTTACTGTTTTGGTGGTTGTCTAGGAATTTTAATCCACTTTACTGGATAGTTGTGCTGCTAGTCAGAGTTAGTTTTATGAAAAGTCAGGGAGARGAAAAGGATCTGGAGAGAGCTATGAAAAATTGTGCTTTTAGAGAGCTATTGAACTTCAGAAATGTATTGAAAGAGCAGTGGCTCCAGGCCATCATTTGAAAATTTTTCCTATTTCTTTTCACAAGGCTTAWTAGATCTGCTCAATCTAAACAGTGTATTTTGTGGTGAGGGGAAAGCCACTGGCAGGAAAAATTTCCTATTCAATACTTTAGGCATTGAATTTTTAACTACAAACTTTGAAGAGTTTGTAGAGAGAATTAGCTTCTCTGCCTATTCATTCCAGGCCTTGTTTATGTTTGATAATAGCCAACCTCTTGAAGGTCTTGCTTGCATCATTTACACTAAATATATTTTTTAACTGCAGGTATCATGACTTCATTATACTTGTCCCATTTAATCTTCCATCTTTCTGGTTCCAAGCAATGTGGGCAATACTGYAGCAGAATGGAGTGTGTTGGATCACAGTCTGACCAAAATTTTGTTATATGTTCTCTCTAAATTGCCCATTTGAGTCTGTGTGCATTTTGTGGCTTCTGTGAGTAGCTATAACAAATGTGAATAACAATGGATTCAGGAGGTGGCATTAGTCATTTACTGCTTTCAGTTCTTTTGAATGCATGACTTCTGCAGCAGAATAGCTTTGTTTCTTCTAGCCGTGTTCTGTCATTCCCCCCGTTAAGAGATGCCTTAGGAAGCTTTCATGTTTGGTTTTTGAATGTAATTATTGCTCTGTAATTAAAATGGATATAATTACAGTCAGCTTTCAGGTGTCTGTGGGTAATTCAAGTTGTGAGCAATGAGACTCTCTGTCTCCTCTGCCAGAGTGACAGCTTTACAGGAGTTTCTTCTGGAAGTGCCATCAAACCCAACCAGTAGGCAGTCAGCTCTGTAAACTTTCCATGCACGTGTGCAGGATGAACAGTAAGTGCCTGCTCATATTTGTCACAAAATTTTATCATAAAATTGCCCTTTTTTGTGTGTTACTCTGCGATTACCTGGGAGGATGGTGTCACACACAGGTTACAGCCCCATTGGCTTTGAGTCCCTGATTAAAGTCATGGCACAGTAATGTTACATTCGTTGTTCACCAGGAGTTTTTTTTTTTTCAGAATAGACTGGAATCCACAAAAGCAGATGATTTGGAAGTGACATGTAGATTCTCTCAGTAGTCCAAATGTGGGCAAGCTCAGTAACAACCAAAATTATTTCCTGTGTGAGGATTAAGTAGTCATGAGTTTGAGATGAATTTGGCATTATCTAATCCATTTCTTAGTGGGCACAAAGATTGTGTTAGAAAGCACAGGAGCAGATTCTTGTAAGCTGCCATCCTKCTCGTGAGTTTTTTAAGTCCCTGTAGAGGAGCATAGACTAGAACTTGTGATATCCATTAAGGATTCAGAGAAAGAGGATATTAAGGCTGCATATTTCTGTAATGCTCAGATGCAGATCATATTGCTTCTGTCAGTGCTTGTCAGCAAGTCTAGAGTGCATAAATTCAAGCTGCTGTTATGCAGAATGTGAAAATGAGGTTAGAGAAATGGTAGCAGATAATAACCATGAAAGCTTAGTACTAAATAATTCAATTTGCATTGATCTAAATAATTCTCTCTACAAAGAAAGAAATGTCAYGGAAAACATCTAAGGCTATCCCTGTAAAGTGTCTGTCTTTAAAACTTATTTAGTCYATCTCATCATAATTCACCATCTTTCTTCATGCAGTTTTTATATAATGCATGTTCCTACACGTTAACCATGTCCATAGATTTTATCCTTCTTGCATTCTCACTAATACAAACAATAACTCTGACTTCAGCAACTGTCATGTGATTATTATACCTGCCCATACTATTTGCCCCATGGTAAGAAAAAGATTCATTGTTTAAAAAAAAATTAAAAATTGTAATTTTTTTTTTTTTTTTGCAAAATATGCCATAGTGGTTTTTTGTTTTGTGGTTTTTTTTAATGGTTTATTTTTGTGCATACACATTTAAAAAAATGCGTCAATGTAAAATCTGTTTGGTCTTAAAGAAATTCTGTTATTACTTGAATGTCATGACTGTTGAGTGCTTTGTAGACCATGATTTGACAGTAGCCCCCTGAATTTATTCATGTCACTCTTGGATGCATAAAGGGGCATTTGATGATGTTATACAGATTCTGTGCTTGCTAGGTCTGTGTTAGAAGTTAGTTTAACAATTTTTATCTTTGAGATCAAGGATCAAGGAGWTCAATTATTCGATTCTTCTTTCTTTTGAGATACTAAAACATCTACAGCAGTAGTGAAAATGTGCTCTAGATGTAGAGAAAAAATCCTSTCTTTTTCATCTTTATTATTAAAGAGTTCTGTGACTTTTACATAGCCCTGGTAATGTGCGTGAGAACTGGTAGCTTCCCTTTATGGTTTAATTTGATCCAGCCGAGGTATTTGCAAGCCGGCTCAGCATAGTATCCATGAATAAAATAAAATGGAAATAATTTAAAAAATACAAATAAAAATAARCAAAGTTTACTTCYATGTGTGTGTGCTTTTAAGAACAATTAAACTTCTCTTTCCCCTCTTTGTAGATACACTATAAAGAAGAGTTTAAAAAATCTAAAGGCAAGTGCATATTTGTACCTGACACCCCGCAGCTACAACATGTGAAAAGCCTTGGTGCTTTTATTTCTGAGGTAAGATCTAAAAGACTGAAGAATTTTCTTTGGCTTCTTATCCTTCCTAAAAACTCTTTCAGTTGAATACTGTGATTTTTAGTAGGGGAAGGACGGCTTATTTCAAATACCAAATCTGTTTAAAGCTGCAGTGACTCAAAAGGCTGTAATTAGTGTGTGATATATATRTGAATAATAACAATTTGGAATTACATGACACTTTCATTTTTGAATTTGAAGATAATTTACCAATGGTTTTGAGCCAGTCCTAGCTATCCCATTTTATGTATGGATAAACTGAGGAGTAGGAAAGGAGTGYTACTTTTTCTGTGGTGATGAGATTWGCAAATTACACCTGGGCAAARTTTYCCTGRTGTGGAGAATTCACAGYCTGATATCAAACAGAAGCAGACAGGGAAACTGTGTCCATGTTATCATCCCTGTCCTCCAGCAAGGGGCCTGGGGCAGACATCAGGTCAATGCCATCTCTGGGTTGCCTGAGCACTTGCATTGCATAATCTCTCTACATATATCTCTATCTCTATCTCTATCTCTATTTCTATCTCTATATCTCTATCTCTATCTCTATATCTATCTATCTATCTATCTATCTATCTATCTATCTATCTATCTATCTATATCTATACATCTACATCTACATCTATCTATATCTGTATCTATATCTGTATCGATATATCGATCTATCTATATATCTATATATCTATATATCTATATATCTATATATCTATATATCTATATATCTATATATCTATATATATATCTATATATCTATATATATATCTATATATCTATATATCTATCTATATTTTATATCTATATTTATCTGTCTCTAATCAATAGCCATATCTATCTATCTAATCTGTATCTATATATCACCTATATAGCTGTATATATCTGTATCTCTACATACCTGTGACATGTGCACACACACAGAGCTGTGGTGGCAAAGAAAGAAAAACAGCTTCCAAAATGCCAGGGCAGCATTTACTGTCAGCTCTTGATGTCCCAGGTACAATGTGCTGTAGGATTTCACCTYTGATTATTTTCCACAGGTAAACAGCAGCAGTTCCACCTGAGAGAGAGTGGCTTTGTTAGAGAATCGCTGGTTCTGAGTGATTTTTCTGYCAAAAATAAAGTTTTTGGTGGCCTGTTTTTGGTGCTACCTTTATGATTACGATAAAGAGCATCCTAATATTGCTGTCTGAGGTCACATAATTTATACACATTCTAAGCTCTCTGATAGACAACAATTTGCTGTGTGGCTTTCAGTATAAATGTATCTAATGAATGCTTTTCTCCTATTTATCYTCCTGTTTTCTGAGCAAGAGTGGCATGTCCCAAGGGGAGTAAATCTGATGTAATTGCGCTTTATAGGAGACAGACTATTGTAGCCTACAAAAATWCAGTATATAGAGGGTATTTATCTAATCCATCTATCTTTTTCCAGAGAATCTGCTCTTAATTAATCAAATAAAGATATAAAAATACTTTAAAATTTTGAACCCTGTGTGTTTGATATTACCACAATCTTAAGCACTGTGCCCCTTTATTGCAGCATTACCTGAAGCCAATGATGTGATGGATGGTTTATCTTGTAAATTACTGACCTCTAGTGTCCCATAACCTGTATTTGCAAATCTTGGACACTGACATTCTTAACAGCATGTCCACTGCAGTGAAAAAGAGCCCTCTGTTTTGGGGAACAGCAACAAATGTTACAGCAAATTTTATATATATATATATATATATATATATATATATATATATATATAAAATATAATACGTGTGGGAAATTAGCCTCTAATGAAGGACTGTATATTTCATAGTAAATAAATGACATTAGGCATTGTAATTTAAAATATTTTTTGTATTTATGGTTACTTTCCCAGTAATGCTGACATTATTGTTTTGTGAATTTGAAAAATTTAAATCTGAAGCAAAAGCCTCACAGAATTTGAACTATTGTTTGATCTCCTGTAAACCCCTTTGTGAGCAATTGCTAATACTGAACACTGGAGGAGACACAGGATAAATAAAAAGTAATTTTAAAATGAGACTGTAATATGAAAAGATGAAATAGAAATGATGGCAGACATGCCATTATAGGTATTACTTAAAGATGTTTTTGTCTTGAAAGTTAATGGCAACATTAAATTTTTCCAATTCTGTCTATACAATTTTATTTACTAGAAAAAATAACTATTGTAGTTACTGTATCCTCACATTTGCATTATGTGTTACCTTTTTCTGCCCTCTAGGTAAAGTATAAAGGAGCTGCTAAGAAAGACCTTTCCAACTCTCTTTATCAGCAGATGCCAGCCACGATTGACAGTGTATTTGCMAAAGAATTAATGCACCTTCAGAGCAAGGTACAGCTTTAGAATTGTAAAAATGATTTTTAGATTAATTGTTTGTGAGAATATGTACACTTTGAACAAAATATTTGAGCGGACACTTGGTTGCCTGGTTGATTTATTTGGGTGAGCTTATCATCCAGAGTTTATCACCATAACTTCTTAACTTCAGAAACCACTCATTTAAAAAATGTTGATGATTTTACTTGTTATGTTTGTTATACATTCATTTAAAAGCTTGTAGTGTATGCATCAAGCCAGTGAAATCCATGAATGCAATAAGGAATTAATGAATTCAGTGACATTCCATGGTCCTTACAGAATGGGTGCATCTTACGTAACTATTTCCACTTGGGTGTTGTATTAGCTACGTAAAATGTTTGATGCTGAAGGCAAAATAAAAAAAAAAAAACTGCTTTAATGACTTCTAAAGGCACTTAGTGGTAGCAATAAATGCTTTTCTGATGGTCTACACAACTCACAACAAATTTTATAGAATAAAACACGAAGTCAAGTATACTGAACRCAGTATAAAGCTTGTAAAACCAGTAAAATAGTAAATTCCAGTTCAGTAGCTCTTAGGGATTCAAAAATATAATACCCAAGAGTAGGCAGGTGACCCTTCACTCCCACTGATCTCAGTGGAATTGTGAATGTTAAGTATGTGTAACAGGAATGRGGTTAGAGATTCTCAATGTTTCTCATGAGAATTACAGCTGATAGATGGTGATGGCTYTCTGTCCACCAAGCATTTCCATGGTTTTCTTGTTTTTGCATTCTCCTCTCTTAAAGATATCAACTACACGTAGTTTAATACAGCCAGTGTGTCAAGTGAACACGCTTCTAAATCCATAATATTGATTGTATCTCAATATGCATTCTTGTAATGCAGTGATACTTTTTCAGACAAAGAAAAATATTCATAGCAAAAGAAAGGACTAAAATCTCTGGACAGCTTGTGGAAAAAGTTTTGATATAAAACATTGTTTTAATCAAGGCTATACTGAGAAAATAACATATTTTAGTTTTCAGAATTTGAAAGGGAATATACATACACTCAGRTTAAAGCAGCACAGTAGCTGAAATGACATTAATGTGACATTTCRTCGTAAAGTGAGTGATTAGAGGAATTACAGTAAAAATAAATTGGGAATTAAACTTGTATAACATTTTAAAGCCATTAGCTTGATTTATGAAACATTAGTTAACTATTTTGCCACAGATTTACTCCCAAATTAATTCCAAATTATTACATTCTACATTAGTTTACACAAATTAGGTTAATTAACATTGGTGAGGTGGCAGAAAAGATAAATAACAGAGTGAAAATGAAACCGTTGATTCGTCAAAAAAACCCTTTTAAGAAAAAAGAATCRCATTTTTATTTGGTAGTTTTGGAAGGTTTTCTTCAATCATCCAACAGTCATAGAGAAAAAAAAATATGCATATAGGATGAGTTATATTTAAGGAGAAWTTTTTCCCATAAAATTCATACCATCCCCTTAGGAGTAGATGCAYTATAAATCATAATACACCATAAAACTTAAAGATACGCTGACACATTTTTCCAACTTGTGGTTACTGTTGCAGCGGACCTGAATTTAATGCTACTTTGAGAGAGATCTCAGGGGATTTTCTAGTGAAAATCTTCTCCACAGTATTCAAATCTAATCCATATTGTGCCTATCACTGCGGTACCTCAGTAGCTAATGCAAGGATTTCAGATTTCAGCTGGGTTAGGATATGGCAGGGGGTGTTTCTGCTGCATCTGTCTAGCTGGGATTGTGAATTTTCAGGTCATCATTTCAGGAGGAGACTACAGGCATGCCYTAGGAAGGAGAGAGAACAGCACCAGCTGGCCACTGTGCCACCCTCCTGCAGAAAGGCTGCTGCAGACACAGAGCTGCAGTTTGTTTCTCAGTTACAGTAAGCTGATTTTAAAACAAGTGCTGATTTCCTGATTTCCCRGAAAACACGGGTATGTGTCCTTCTCCCTRCTCGCATTAGAGCAAAWTCACAGCATTACTCCCTYTTCATGCTGCTCAGGKGCAGTGCTGTGCTGGGATGCTTTYGTGGGCAGACTGAGCAGGKMTTTTCTYRCTCRGTGGTGCCGTGTTTTTGGCAGGATCCCCAGCCCCACCTGCCAGGAAGGTGCACTGGGTCTAGAGGATCATGGTGTGGCAGAAAGAGAGGCGCTACCATTCCCCCCTGCTGCCTGCTGGCCCAGGCTGGTGTGCCTCTGCCACAGCACCTCCTTGCACAGCTTTGCCTCTTGCCATGGGCTCTCCCAAAGTTCCAAATTCGCCCCTGAACTGGGGCTGCTGTACTGCTCTGCTCAGCAGCCCTGCCTATGTACAGCCCAGTTTAGTAACTCGATACACCAGTTCAAATCACACACATGATTTAGGAACTTGGAGGCAACCAGAGGTAATTTCCTGCTTTTCTCAAGGAGTTATACCCCATCTGCAGCTGCCTTCCCCTGTCCTCTCCCAAGCCAACAGGCTGCCACAGCAGCTTCTGTAACTCATGTGGCAATTGTCAGTGACTCCAGCAGAGCCAGGATCTCCTCCATCAGGGCTCCTACATGCAGGGTCAGTCCCGACATCAGGATTTGYTGTCATGGGGAGTGCAGCACCCTGACACATGTGGCTCTATTCCTGTGGAAATTTTTCCCCATACTGGCTGTATTGAATCATACTCAATTCTCTCTTCAAGATACTCAGGAAGGCCTAAAACAAGACAGCCTGCTGGCTTTTGTGTGAAATCCATGTTTGCTCTTTTGTGTTTTGTGTAGAACCATCATGAAGTAGGAAAAAATACCCATAGAGAAGCACATCTATCCAAAATGATGACCACAAAAAATGACCTAACACTCTTTATGGGAAAAATATTTCAGGAAAATGAAAAGGAAGTTTCATAGCCCCACATACTTGGGTGGCTTTCATCAAGTTAATTTCTTCCTCTTCACAGAAAATTTGACTGTTGCCTTCTAAATGGCTTTCTTGAAAGTGAGCAACCAGATTTGCCTCCCTCACTTTTGTCATAGYTGTCCCCAGGGTAAGTTAGAAAGAGGAGAAGTCCCTGTCATCACTGAATAACTTCACTCTCCTTACCAGCCGACAAAGCTCTCACCAATTTCCCTGCTCTCTGCAATGAGAAGATAAATTTGATGAGAGCAGTCTAGGCAGGAAGTCTTCATTTTGATTTTTCTGAAAGTAAATGGAAACTTTTCTGAAAAAAATGCAATTTTCTTGTGGAAAATATTTCAGAAGGAAAATTTCTGATCATTGCCAAGTCTTTGTCTTGTCTGACGATCAGTCCTTATGTAAAACAATATTTTTTTTTTAATAAGGTGTCTCAAAAAATGATAAAGGTATTTAAAATTGCTAAGGGGGCAAAAATGTTGAAAAAGGGAAGCATTTCATCACTTTTTTCATCACTTTATTTCTGTGATAAGCAATTGCACTCTTTTCCCTCTTATCTTAAAGGGATAATCTAAAGCAAACTGAAGGCAGTTTAATTTTCTACTTTGCACAGKGCAATGTCTCAAAGAGTAACTGTATGTCAATTTTGAACACTATTTCCTGTTTCTTTATAAAGATGAGCCAAGAGAATCTTAAACAATGTTTTCAACTTCCAGAGRAAGTTTCAGAGGGTTTTTTTTTTAACTGCAGCAAAATTTTTGTTGTTTACTGCATCATTTCCTATCGTATTTCACATCATCAAACTGTTTTATGTAATTCTCCAGGATTTTTTAATGGTATGAAATGTCCTGTTCAAGATTTCCTGTTTTTTTGGTGGCAGGTATTCGTCTTCTGGACTTCTATAGTTCTTTTTTGCACAAATACATTGGATAATCTAATTCTCTATACAGAGATTGAAGTGACAGTTTCTGTGTTCGTGAACATTTCCTCCTAAAAAATCCTGCTTTGTGGATTTTAAGTTCAGAGCTCTTCTTACTGACTGTAAAGGGAAATGCAAAAATAAAAATGTAATATTGTTTAAAGTATGCTGGAACAGTGGGTCAGTCAGAGCTGACTTAAAAGAGGACAGGGGTTAAAAGAGCACAAAGCCTTCCCTAATGCAAATTCCTATTGACACACTGATGTACAAGAGAGAGGAAAAATAAAAAATGAGTACTTACAAATTAGTTCAATCTGAAGTCATACCTACTTAAATAATTGCCTTGTATTTCTCAAGTTAATAAATGGTGCCACTGCAGGGTAGAGGTTATGTCAGTGACCTATAATGCTTGCTCTCTCTGTAGAGTAGTTTCATGTGTAGATGTGATAAARGAAATTCAGTTTAGCCAAAACTTGAAAATCAACATGAGATGAGAAATAAATRTATGCATGCTAACCTGGGAAATAATGGTTCCAAGAATATTGATGAAGTAATGATAAATATTTTTTTCATGCTTACTTGGAATTGATTTACAAATCTGGGAATAGTTCTGCACTAAACTGTCCCAAAACTAAACTCGAGAGCCATTGAACCCCTCCTAGCCTGGGATTGCATCAAGACTACTTCAGCGAGGCAATAAAAATAATGTGAAAAGATAGGAAGAACACAGTGCCAAAGCAAGTGAAATACTGCTACATTAAGCTAAAGAAATGGTCATATTTTCCCAAGGTAGTGGATACTTAATTGTTATTTCTGTTAAATTTCTCATGCTGGGAGTYGATGTGTTATTGTGTTTTGATGTCTTGGTTACATAGCCCGTTCACCAAGGGAAAAACAGAGATGTTGAACCAGCAAAATGGCAATGCMATAAAATAYCTGCAAATTAGTAGATTTTGAAAGTAACTSTGTGGGTCTTTCCATAATGGCATTAAATGAGGAACATCTTAAAWGTGACAGTGTAAGCAAGGAGAATTAACAAAAGAGTTTTTGCGGCATATGTATATAATGACCCTTTTTGTCGGTGATGCTTCAGCCTTTAGTTTAGATTATGTGCTTTTCCATTTGCAAGATGTAGCCAGTGCAGGCAAGTTACGGACTCCTTTTGTTTCAATTTCAATTGTGTTGTTTCTTCAGAGGGCTGATTGCCTTACACTGTACAAGGAGATGGCGCATTTTAAGTTTCTTGATTTGATACTTTTGTTCACATAGAAGCAGTGCAAAAACACCCCTCCCCCCTTTTTGTCTTAATCTCTCAGCCTGTATATCATTTTGTAATCTGAGATAGTCGGGGCAGATACTGACATATTGCTTTGGGCACACTGCTCTGTAACTCAGATGAAATCTYGCTTTAAACAAAAACAGATACAGAGTTTTCTCACAGTTCTAGTATCCTGTCCTAAAGGAGCCTGAATCTCTGTAGTTGAGAGTTTCTGTCTCAAAACTTTAACAGTATTCTTTTATTGCTATCATGGGTTTCACTTTCAATCCTTCTCCTCCTGATCAGCTTTCAATCTTATTTAGCATTTGCTGTTTTCTTGGGGATTATTTTAATGCTTGCTCATGAGAGCTATTAGAAGATGAATTTTCTTGATGCTTGCTGCTTTTTAATCATCAAAACCTGGTGAATTTTCCTTTATATAAGCCTGAAAGCTTCTGACAAGCATAAGTGTAAGTCCAGCTTTTCAGGCAGYTKCAGTATGARARTGTGTATGTGTAAGTACAACACAGYGCAGTGAAAGCTGGATGAGTGCCCAACATTGAGCTCCGTTTCTATTATAAAAGTGAAGGTGTTTATAAACTCACAATTCAATTCCATTTTTCTTTACCATGATGACAATTGAATGTAAATATTATTTTTCTTTGTGAACCTGGGGGCTAGTCAAAATGCCTAGTGTGCTGGTAGTTTCCTAACCGTGGAAGAAATAGAAGTTCGRACTATGAGTATTGAATGTAAAATAATTTGTTTATGAAAAATGCATAAAATATTTTTTTGTTTCTGAAAATGGAAGATTGTTATATAGCTCAGAGATTCAGGTGTGTTTTAAGGAAAAAAACCCACTTTTGCTTGTGTTTCTCCCTGGGCTGTCTTCTCACCTTGCTAAGCCTAATTTTCTGTTTCTGTATATTACTTTTGCTTTCCCCTGTCTGTTCATGCATCTGTTGTAATAACAGATGCAGAGAAATCTCTCTGCTGACTATGCCTCAAAGATCTCTGTTTTGGGTGGAAGCCGCTCTCATTTCAGTGTTCTGGTTCCATTAAGGAGCTTAATTGTTTTCTTCCTGAATAAAAGCGCACTATGCCACTAGTTTTAACCCAGCTCATGTCATTATACCTGCTCTGCTCAGGTCACAAAAGTCTGATGTTGCTCTTTTCAGGTTCTCTATAAGCAAAAACACGATGCTGAGAAAGGATTTTCAGACTATGCACGYATGAGGGAACCTCCAGATGTCAAACACGCCATGGAAGTCAGTAAACATCAGAGTGATGTAAGTGCTCCCCCATCTGAAATGAGTGTGCTTGTTTTGGGTAGATACGTCTGTTACAGCTTAGTGAAATGAACTGGGCATGGAATATTTCCACATTTCATTTGTTGGTATTTTTTAATAAATTATTTGCTCTGAACTAATTTGGGACATGATGTGTATATAAAATACTGTGAGTAACAGTATGTGAATTTTATTCTGGACTGCAGTGGAAAGTGGTAGTTACTGTTTATCAGTAGTAACTGTTATTAACTGCTATCACTTTGAAATAAAATTGCAGACACAGGTTTTCTGAATTCACTTTTAGCTACTTGTACTTCTAAAATGTACAAATCTCCTTGTTTAAATGAACACCAGCATGGTTTCAGTGTCAATGCACTCTGTCAATATTTGGATAGATCTTCAAGGGTGCTGTATAGAGAACACAAGCAGGTTTGTATTTCTGCACTGCTCTTGCACACTTTTAGGCCCATGAATAACTTTGTTCCTATCTCAGGGATACATATCAATTGAGTTTTTTCAAAGAATTTAGTAGAATAAGATACGATTTATTTTGCAGAATTTGAGTTGTAGAGCTCAGTTTGATGCCTGCACTGGTTTATATGATTTGCAAAAAGTATTTGTTCTTGTAGTTTTATTTAGATAACTTACTAATAATTAGAAGTGCCTAGCAATATTTTGAAATTTGGTTGCTTTTTTTTTTTTTTTTTTTTTTTTTTTTTTAGCTGTTTGCTATCTTCTTGAAGTTCTGAAGCTTTTCACAATATAAAAACCTAATAGTATTTACATTTTTTGTTGGAATCAGGTCAGGTTTGATTTAATGGTTAAGCTAGTTTATACTAGCTCAATGCACCATTGCTTGGGGCAGAAATGCTGCCCAGATTAGTGCCTTAAATGATAAAAAGAAAAATTTATGTTACTTTTATGTTTTGTAAAAGCTTAGTTGTGAGAAAAGCAKACTTTAGGACAAGATTGGTTAAAACTGTGATGCCACTTTAAGGGGTACACGGAGCTTTTGAGAACAGCTGATAGGCAAATACCTTTAAAATTATGATCCATTTCCATTCTTGTTTAGGTAATTGAATCAATTGAGGTAGGCATGTCATTTTACAACTCTTTTTTTCTTAGAGAAGTGGGATATCTGTTTGCTGCTAACAACGTAAAAAACAAAGCTTTGCTGTTCATTTTGAATTATCTTAATTTTACCCTATCTTCCCCTACTAACAGCATAATAAACACTTTTAGGTTATGTAGGCTGAAAACTAAATGTCAATGTTAGATGTATATCTGCGTGTGCAGAATCTTGACAGCTGGCTGCTGATTAAAAGGCTGCTGGAAAACTTCAGGGAAGCATTATGTTTGAAGAATAACTTTTTCTTCTGCTGGGAAATACCTGCAATGGAATTCCCAGCAGTAATTTGCAACCTGCCTTGATTACAGAACTCCYTCTTCCTGTCAAACTCTGTCCATCTCTGCTGTTGGAAGCATCAGGATGTTGCTCTGACAGAGCGTAGGAGCTGGGAACATGAATGTCTCTCCYCATGAGCAAGAGGTTTTTTATTTACCTACAGTTGGAATGATGGTGAACTGCTGGAAAGAGAGATATGAATCCCTCTCAGAGAAGGTGGTGGGAGCATGAGGAATATGAGAGGAGTTTCTGTAGCAAATTCATTGAGGTTGGAGGATTTGCTCTACAGTGGTGTGTCACCCRCTAACAGAATTAAGGAGAGCAGGTTATAGATGTGAGGATAAATGAAATTCAGTTATTTCATCTTTCACTGTAAAAACAAGCATAAACAAAAAAAAAGGAAATTAAGGAAAACATAGGAGGGAAGGATGTTTTGATAAATGAGAACTTTTAACAACATATTAGAAATAATAAAAAAAATGAGGGAAATTATTTTTATCCTGAGCAAACTTCAAAAAATCAAAAAAGCCTAAACTAACCAGTTAGTTTAATCTGTTCAAGAGCAAATCCTTTCTGGTTGCTCATGAATAGCTGCAGTGCAATGGGCAAATATCTTTATCACACATAAAGGAGCAAGTTATGTGAGTCCAGTTATTGCTCAGCAGAGTTACACAGCTCCTGTGGGTAATATTTGGGCATTGTGGTGAACAGCAGTGAATTTCTTGTTTTGTAACTACAGGTTTAGTTAAGAACCCTGTGAGTTTTCATCTTGGAGTCAGAACACAGAAGAGCAAGCATCCCAAATGTGGAACATTTGTCTTTCCAAACTATTTCTGGCTATCTGTGCAATCACAGCTCTGAAAGTGGAGGGAAAAGAAAGGGAAACTTTGGGGGAGCTGGAAGGATAAAGCTCTTTTATCCACCATTCTGTACAGTTTACCTATGGGAGCAGAATGCATGTTTGTCTACAATGCTCTGTCGACTGAATTCAACCTTTACATGGAGGGTTTGCATTTAATACGATTAGGATGTGTTTAAGACAATTTCTCAGCCTTAAAATAATGCTGACATTTATACTCAACTCCGTGAAATTCTTCCTTTAAAAATTAAAACTGTATTCAACTTAAAACAAATTTGTGCTGACATTTTGGAGCTGTCATGTGCTCTAGGCCTTCACACCACTTTGAATATCATTAACATGCTCTGTAAGTGTGAGCAGAAGCTGCATARCACGGAAATACTCTAAAATCTCCTGAACAATGTGATCATGTATAAGAAAATAWTTTTTTTCATACTTAGACTGAAGAAAATTGCTCTCAAATGGACAAAAGCAACTTTTAAAATGATGGGAAATACACTTTAAAAAGAATTTAAATACTACACAATGCTTGAAGGAAAGCGTATTTATCCAAACCAGAGTAATTTTCTCTAGAAATTGTGTTTGTTTTGYGAAGTCAATGTTCATGATGTGATTTTGACACACAAAGTCATTTGCAAAAGAGTGAAGTTGGGACAATCAGCCTGCTTTGTCTCTGCTTAGCTTATGTCATTTAGCTCATCTGGAAGTTTCCTAACTTGGGACTAAAACTAGGTGGTGGCCTTAAAACAATGTCAGGTCACAAAATAGCCTTTTGCTTTATKTGCACCTGAGGATCATTTCAATGGAAGGATGTAACTGAACAGTGAAATGACRTGACAACTGAATTTCTAAAGCAAAGAAACCACTTGCCACATCCTGTCTATGTGGGGATTGCACATGACATTTGATGAAGGTACTCAAAGCTGTCTAGCACGCTTTGSTCTGGTACATAAATAGGCATTATAATATCAAAACAATGTTAAATACTTGTACAGCAGTTTAAACTTGGTTAAAATTACTGATTCTCCTCACCACATTACATGGTATGAAATAAGGATAGGGTGTTCTGATTTCACAAATAAGAAAACTGCAATAGATTCATCTATGGAGATTTAAAAGGCAGTTTGCAGATCTCAGTTTGGAGTTTGGTATCTTTTCTCTTATACTTATCTATAAAATAGTGCTTATTTAAAAATGTTAGCTGACAGTTGGGCAAACTTTTGATGTATATGAATGTGCTTTCCACTCCGTATGATGTCAGTAATGATAATTTATAGTTTAACTCACCATCTAAATTTGAACATTTAAGATGTCTGTATTGTCTTAGGAGTAAGCTTTTTCATGTTCACRATACTGTGCAGTCACCATTCACGTACTCAAAAAATGTGCATTCTTTCTAAGGTCAATCAGCAGATACTCAACTGGATGTGCTTAAACACCACCATTAAAATACCTGAATGTTAATGTTTGTTTTGATGCAGACCATGGTAAAGTCAAGCTTCTCCTGGCTCTCTGCTCAGCATCTGCGTTAGAAAAATCACCTTTCACTGACTAACTTTTTGCTGACAGTGGTTGTCAACAGCAAGTCCCTCTGGACCACTTCCAAGTGGTGCTGAAAATGATGTTTACTCCTGATGTAATTGGGACCAATCAATTTTAAGGCCCATTACTGGAAAGGATGACTGCATCAATCTGTAATGGGCCGGAAATGTGTTTGTCTCTTTTACACAAGCCGGAAAACAGTTTTCAACATCATTTGAGTAGGAATTAGAAAAGCTGTTGCCAATGATGATTGTCACCAGCTAGTCATTTTCTTAGTGTTGATGGACCCCAAAGTGTAGATGAGAGAAAAGGGCAGAGACACAGCTGACAGGTCATTAGTTAGTGGACTTAACAGGTCTTAGAAAATGCTTGTYAGGGACAAACAGTAAGAGACAAATTCTTGTGCAGACAGGTGTGCCCAGCTTCTTGCTGAGTCCTTAAGAGGGCAAAATGTGTTCGTAGCTTCTTGTGCATACTTTAGTAATTTATTATGTATGGTTTGGAATAGTTTTGGTATTGGAATAAGTGAAAAGATAGAAGATTTCAGGAAAAGTCTGATTCTCTTAAACTTAGGTGAGCTTGGCTCGCCATGTAGAAGTTTCTCTGTTGATTGACAGCCTGAGATGTTTTGCAGCATTGYTAGGAATCTGTCTGCTTTATGGCACTGTAGTGCATTCTACTGTTATTCATGTAAGGTGAAGCATCTTCCAGACCCTGCTGGAGTAACTAGACCAGCACATTTATCCTCAGTGGACCTTATGCCTTTGTAAGAGCTGGAGGTTTGACCCTGTAAAAATCAGTTTACTAATTATGAGCATGCCCTGAATATTCTCCATGCTTTTCAAAATCTACTTGCAATTCCGAGTATGTAATCACATTTGGGATTAAAGATGAGAAATGGCTTTTGTTCCACTTACTGCTTCACAAAAATATTCAACAATGTAACCACTTTTTATTGTAATTTTAAATTGGGTAGAAACCCACTTTAAATTAATTGGTGTCTGTAATTTACTGTTTTCAGCTTCATAACTCACGATAGTACATTTTTTTTTCCCTTTCAGTTCCTGCTTCTTTCTCGCTTGCACTTCCCACTGGTCTTCTCTAACTCTCCATCTAGGTCATTCACTGCTGCTCTAAAATTGTGATCTCAGTTACTTTTCCTATGCAAAGGCCAGCTGGAGCAATTTTTTTGTAGAACTGTGGTCCTCATGAAGAGGAACAAGTTTTGAGCCTGTGATGATTTTTTTTTGGTAGGGCTTGAGCAAACTTTTGAAGTGAAGATTGAATAAGGTCATCGTGTAATGCCTGGAAATTCCAGTCAGGGTTTGAGCCCCTTGAACCAACCCAGGACAAAAAAAGGCTCCTTCTCCGGGTGCTTCTGCTGTTTCCTTTTGCTGCTTCTCCCACCTCAGGGGCTTCTTCACTTCATCTTSTGATGCCCATGGGTGCACACACCCAGCTGGTTGCTTTGCCCTGTCTACATCTGTTCCCCTGCTCTCTCAGAATAGCTCTGGTTTTACTGTTGTAACATAGCACTATTAAAAAAAAAATCACTAGATGGAACAGAATAGCAGCTGTGTAATAGAGGCCAGCACAGTGTCCCAATGGGAAAGGGTCAGCATCCAGGGATTGAGGTTATTCAGGAAATGGGAAACATATTTTTTCTTTCTTTGGCCTACCTCTGACAAACTACTGTTCTGCTGCATAACATTTTTATTCTCACTGGAGTATGACAAGCTGCAGAATGGAGCAAATATATATTGCAGACATTTGTAAAATGCTAGATGACTTTCCCTCAGACATAAGTAATAGGTATACTGGTTTAGGTGCAGGAAGAATAATAATTCACTCAGGGAAAGGTAYAGCAATTGGCCTTGCATCTAATATAATTGGAAATGGTGAAATAGAAAGGACTGTCACTGTCTTATTTCTCCCCCCAACCTTTCCCCTGAAATTAACCACAATCCATTATTTCATGCACTATATGATCATGTCATTTGGGAGCAATAAGTGACCRCATTTCCTCAACTTTATCACCACTGTTCTTGATTCTCTGATGTTAAATTCACTACATTCCTAATTTCTATTTTGAGCACATATGCTGGCCTTTAATTTGCAATTTACATGGATCATAGGGTGCTATTCAGAAACCTGTTTCTGCTGCCTTTGTGGTTTTCACCTCACCTCATGTGGTCATTAGGATGAACAGCATATAATTAACTAAATTCATGTAAAGTCCTGAATTGCAAATGCTTCTCTGTACCTCTAGTTTCTTAAAAATTAGAGAAAACATAAACATAACCAAAAGAAAAGTTCYACTGGTTTAAACCAGCTGTAAGAATCAACTTCCATTTTGTATGCATGCGATAATTTGGGCTATATCCATCAATCCTATTTATTTGTTTATTTTATCAGTGATTACACTTGTGTGTCACTCATGGAAGATTAAAAATTATAAGATCTATTTGTGGGCAGGCAGCCAAGAGTGAAGCCTGTTTAGCTTGTCTACTTAGCTGAAGCCATATGGACACAAAATTACTTCCCTGTTGCATGTAAAATATTTGCCAAAAAGCTTTTTTATTTTCTTTTTCTTTCTGCAATACTGTTTCTATGAGGTATATTCGTCATTGACTACTGCAGTTTATGAGTTTGTTGCATTGTACCCAGAGTGAAACTTTACATTGGAAACAGGAGCAGGGGTTGTAATGAAAAACTTCAAGCTGAGARCTTTCTTGTTGGTGAAATATTATCTTGAGAGGCCGATTAACTTTGTGAAGCAACAGAAGAAAATCTAAAAAATTTCCCAGTAAAGAAGGAATTACTCTTTTACTATTTCATCTAAACTTTATTTTATGTTCCCCAACTTTTTCCTGAAACTTCAATTTGTCAGACTCTTTTGAATACCAGGGACAGAATGTCATTCAGAATAATTCAGTAAGACAGCCCCTGGAAATTGGCTTAGATTGGCACATGTGCTGGAGGAGGAAAAAGTTCACAAACCTTGAAGAAGGAAAAGAAGGATAACTTGTGGAGCTCCATAATGTCCCTGAGGTCTGTGCTGCTCCCATGATTGCTTTGCTAAATGGAGAATGTTTGGACTCTCCTACCTGTGGTTTAGCCTTCTGGCCAAAGTTTTCTGAGCCCATTCATTATAGCAGTGGCTTTTGCACCAACAGAGTCTGTCTTGTACTGAACATGCTGGAACACTCAGCTTTCTTGTTCCCATGATTGTGCAAAGGAGCAAATAAGCGGCGTTGTGGGGATGCTGAGGTGGAGTCGCATCATTGAATTTCACAGAAGCCACATGTCTGTCCAATGCTAAGGAAGATATTCACTGTGATAGAATTACAGTTTCTCTTCGGTGTAGCTGCAATCTGCTAGGCTGTAGTGCTCAGTATCAGACTGGGGTTAATTTGTATTAAAAAAGGACACAAAATAGGAAAAAAAATACTGTACCCTTAAAAGCCCTCTGAAATTGATGATAAAACCTAATATTTGTGTCTTTGCAATGCTTTAGTTTTCCACTATGTTTCTAGGCAAAACCATTTTTCTTTTTCCAATTGTATTTTATGCTTCTGAATTTCTTTTTTATCGTGTTACCTTGTGTGTGGGTCTCACCTTACAATCCCTGTCAAGCAGAACTCTGTTGGAATAAATTAGATGGGGTTCTATTGAATTTAATGGCTGAGTTGATAGGTCATTCAAAGCTTATTTATAAACTTCAAACTACATTGTTAATTTTAAACAAAACTGTGTTTTGTTTGACAGGTATCCTATAAGAAGGATGTGCAAGATACTCATAGGTACACTGAAGTGCTGGACAGACCAGACATAAAGAAGGCAACTGAAATAACAAAGATAATAAGTGATGTATGTTCTCCTTTTACTCTCTATCTTTTAGACATGTAATTTTTTAATTCCAATTTTGATCAGATTTTTTTTGAATGCTGCTGAAATTCTCAAACGTCTTGAACAGAAAACCAGCACCCTCAAATCCGATAGGAAAGTTTGATTAAAAAAAAATCCAAACTCAACCAAAACAAACCAGTCTTGCTTGGTAGGTTAGAAAGATACAGGTTTGTCCTTTTTTGTTGTTGACAGTATGATCTTTGTGGTTATTAGTAATTGATGTACAGACAACCTGAAAATTACTAAAACTGGTTTTGTTTCAGCTTGACTCATGACAGAAGTTCTTAAGATAAGTCATATGCTTGTATGCTGTACTGTGCTTCAGAAGACATCCCTACCTTTTTTTATCTTGGTACAAGAGCATTCCTGGACTTCCTTTCATTTTCCCATTTCAGCCATCAGCGACAGGAAAATGTAATTCCCCACTGTCCTTCCCAAAGCTATGCAGATACTGCTTCTTTCATGGGAGTTCTCCTCTCTGACCTCCCCTCTCAAATTCTTTGCCATTCCACTATGACCTTGGCTATTGGACAGGTGAAGGAGCAGTTTGAGAAGCAGCAGTGTGATGCAGTTTAATATTTAATTGTAGACAAGTCAAACAATGTATACATTGAGAGCCCTGAGTCTAGATTTTAAGAAACTGTTAATTAAATGTGAGACTGACTAGACACATTCAGAGAAACAGATCTAAGAGATCTGAAATCCACCTTTTAATATTCAGGATTTTTTGAAAACCAAGAACTTCTACTAAGTGCTGTGCTTGACATGCAAATTTACTAATTGCTGTTCAATTGCTCTCGGAGTCAGAGTGGCTTTGGGACTCTCATTTCTCTCAGWCTGTTGTTATGACGTGTCCTTGCCGATTCAGAGTGCCTGAGTAATGCAAGGAGCCTATTTTAGGCAATGGGTAATTTAGTTTGTGGCACTGCAAAGCACCTATTGTTGATTCATCTGTGCTCTTTCCGAATGCATTGTGGGAAAAAATAGCAGCAATTTGCATGGGAGGCAGTTGAGYTGCAGAGATCACGTAACATTAACCTTGCGGGACCAATTCCGCTCCGCTCCACCGGCACAGCCTCACTGACATCCAGCGAGATCCAGGGGTAAAACTGAGAGTGGAATTTGACYTTACAGTTCAAAAAAGTTGCCCCTCAGACTAGTTTTATTTCAAGCCCGCTTTCAGCTGCTACAAATAATCTTGTGTTAACTGTACAGCCTGTCATAAGAAATGCTGAGCCACTGTAACTCATTCTGCCTTGATGGGGAGGACAATATTTCTCCAGCTTAAGCTGTGCATTTGGTTAAAGGGGAATTYTGTGAATGCCATACATTGTGTTTTGCAATTAATAAATATTATATTGTTAAGGAGCTGAACGCTGAGAAGGACTTTACTCAGAGCTGATCAAAACACTAGGGTCAATGCAGAATATTATGTGACTCTTACTCTTAAATGCTTACATTTCTCTTGATAAAACAAACCCAAACAATTTATTATTTATTCATATTCCCCCTGCCCCCTTTTTTTTTTTTGTCTTTTTTAAGGCTAAGTACAAGAAAGGAAGGGGAGAGTTGAATAAGGAGCCTGCTGTACTTGGAAGACCAGATTTTGAACATGCTAAAGGAGTTTCAAAACTTTTAAGCCAAGTAAGATTCTCCATCATTTTACAGTGATTTCCTCCAAATACTTCATTCTTACTAATGCAAAGAAATATTTAAATTTTTAGATTATTATCTCTAATGGCCTTGAAGATTATGTTCTCAGACTTTTCATATAGTATTGCAATGACTGGAAAATTTAGGATTCTTAGGAAACCAAATACACATTTTAAAGTAAAAATACAATGAACTTTGACTGTTACAAGTTGTCTCTCATGGAGGTGGTGTATATTTAGACAGATTATCTAGCATTTCTAAAATATTAACTGCATGTAATTTAGAGGCAAATTTTGCCCCTCATTCAGTGTGAGTGGAACCTTACCCTGTGATTAATCCCACTGAAGTAACTGAAGTCTTTTGTGTAGCTGCTTGCTAATGTGAGTAATGGGATCTGAATTTGGCCTGACATGTAAACCACCCGCCTTCCTTCCCCCTGAAACGGAACCTTTTATGTACTACTGTTATATATTAACCTCAAAAAAGAAAAAAAAGATGAATTACTTTAGTCCTTAACTAAAAAGAAAGCTGAAATAGAAATATTCCCCCTTCCTCTTAGTTTTCTGTTCATAAGATCCACACATAAGACTCTACTACAGATCATCCTGACATTGTGAGATTTTTCACTGCTGACCTGTTTTTGTTTTTTCCTTTTTCCTTTTTTCCCTTTTTTTTGTCTGAAGTAGTTCTTTAACAGTGCCTTGCATAATCCTTGCTAGTAATCCTGTCCAGCTACCCTTGGAGCTTTTGTAAACCCAGGAACAAATTCTGCCCTCCTGTAAGAGGAGGATARCGCCCTTTGATTGGAGAAGGCTGTGTCAGAGCCAAAAACCCCMTCAAGTGTAAACAGTGTGTGTACTAGAACAGTCTCAATATCAGTGATATGTAACAAATACTTGTGGTTTGGCTACATACTAAATATATTTTCTAGAACTGGCATAAAATGAGAATAATGTGTCGTAGAGAACAAACTGCAAAACAGTGCAGCGTCTGCAGGAGGAAGAGSTCCTTTTGCTGTTATCCTTAGATACCTGCTGCATGATTACCTGTTTCACACTGGACCATTGTAAACTTTGAAGCATTACACAAAGAGAAAAAGAAAGAAATAAATGTTTTTTATTGGCTTGTTGATGATACGTTCAGAAGTGAAATGAGTTTGTATTTTTCAAATAGATTTTTGTCTGTTTTATAATGGATAATATGCTCATTTCTCTGCTGATAGGCAGGTCTGCTGAGAGATTATTTTGTATGTAGCATTTTTCAGGCTTGGAAGTCAGCCTGTACTTTCTAGAATGAGCCAGAGTGATGCAGCTCAGAGCTGGGTGTCACTTACAGGAAAGGGGGCTCTCTGTCATTTAGCAAACACCTTCAGTGGTTTTTAACAGGGTCCATATCTAAATTTAGTGTGTAATGTCCTTAATATCTACTCAATGGCTGCCTGCACACTCCTTTCCTTGCAGCCTGTTTCAGAATTTAGAGATCAAACCACAGCCCTTTCCAACAGCCATCTCTGTTTTCCCTAGCCTGGTACCCATGAGATTGTGGCATCAATCACAACAAGCTGAAAATATCAGCTGGATCATGGGGTCCTGCAGCTGATGCTGGGCCAGCTACAGGGAAGGCTTCATCAATGCACTTTTTATCTCATTTTTATTGGATGTGCTTTTTCTCTTGGACAATGATAGCTGCATCTGCAAATGTTTTATAATAGTCTCTTTACTGCCAGGAACTGGGATGGCAGCAGTTTTAGTTGAGATCTTTCTGCAGAAGACAGCATTTACTGTTCAATTTTAACATCCTTAGAGAGTCCAAATAGTGCAGAAGGTGTGACAGGAAGGGAGGAGGAGTTAACAAAATGTTTATTGWGTTTGGTTTATTTGTAAAGAAAATTCTGACTAAACCTTGGTGGTCTGTACTCTGCAGTCACTGCCCAGAATCCAAATTTTGGGATCCTTTCTTGTCTTGTCCTCTCAATCTACACTGCTGTGGCTGCCTGCAGTGTTTGTGATGGGGACTGTGCTTTCAGGAAAGGATGCAGTGCCTCAGCCTGACCCTCTGCCTGCAGCAGCAGGGAGGGTGCACCCRCGGGCAGCTCTCAGCAGCAGAGAGGGGCACTCAGCAATTCCCCCGCCTCCTCTGAAGGGAAGGCAATGGCCACCAGTTGTCTGATGCTCTTATATATTATTTGAATCATTATAACACTTAGACACACTAATCATAAATCAAGAGCACAGAAAAATGAAGATGACCCCTGTGTCCAAAGAGCAGGGTGTTGGGGCAGGATGAGGAATGCACCTGTGCTGGAGGAGAGGAAGAGACCTAATATCAGTCATTCAGTTCTCATCCTGCAAGGATCATGAAACAGGCTTGTAACACTTACAAGATTTTAAAAATAGTAAAGTTAATGATCTCTTTATTGTCTCCAGACTTTCTGGTTTTTAGAGCTTCCATTTGTTTCTCAGAAAATGGGAAGAGTATAAACTTTTTGTGTTGAAAGTTGAAAATCTGCCTTAATTGAATGAATCTATAAGCTGCGACAAGCAGAGAAATATTACTTATTTGACCCTCACAGTAAATTTGCAAAGTTGACAATTCTGATGGATGTAATGGAAAGAGAAGATGATAACATGTTTTAATGTGGTGCATATGGGTAGGTAATTTAGGGAGTATGGAGAACAGGAGCAAGAAGAGGTCAGGCAGTGTGGGTGTAACGAAGGGAGAAAGCAATCAAGACAAGCAGGAAGGCAAACAGAGCAAAGAAAATAGTGTTAATGTTTGACTGGCACTCAAGGCTCTACAGAAATCACTGTTTTCTCTCTCTCTCCTTTCTTTCCTTTTTTTTTTTTTTTTTTTTAACAAAGCTTTTGACAACAACAGCAGCAAAAATAATAGCTCCCAGAACTAGTGTATTTACCCACAGCACGTGGTAGCCCTTTTCTGTTGATTTTAAATGAAATTTAAAACAGAAACTGTGTTAGCCCTTGTGAAAACATGAAGCTTGACAGTTTGCCGAGTGTGCATTGTATAATTTGGGCTATTTTTCTTCTTTTTTTTTAGTAAAAAACCTCTTGTTTATGTCCTCTTTATGTCTTTTAATACATTTTATTAGCTTTTTCAAAGAGCTGCTGATATGAAGCATTCCTCTTATGGTGTTCAAGAATTGGTTTTAGGATGAATAATTCTGGATATTCGTATTTGTTGCTGGATCTGGCACTTAGTGTTTTAGGGATAAAATTGGTAGTAGTAGAATGTTTCTCAAAATGCATTTTCTCTGAGATTTTCAGTAACAACCCAAAGAACGYAGGATTTTCTCAATCTTTCTTTGCTTTAAACGCTGCTAGTGCTTTTAGCAATGAATGTTTCARTTTTACTCTTTGTTTATGCTACATTTCCTTCAATATATATGTGCTCTGACAGGTTTTTTCCTTTTTTAAAGATGTTTTCATATGGTCATGAGGAAATGCTTTAGCTGCAAGTGTCTGCTTCATCCTGGGATCCCAGTGGTTGAATGATTCAATTTTTGTAGTTTCTTTGTAAATCTGAACAGTGGGTGATGTCATCCACTTCTGAAACTGAACACTCCCTGTGTGAAAAGCTTTGAACTACAGTTTTGATTTAGGAATGTTGCTGCTAAGCTTCAAAAGACACTGCTCTGTCCAGCTGCAATTCTGACTTTTATAGGTTTTGTGCAAGGCCAATGAGAAGTTTGTTTATCCAGGCCTTATTTAATTCCAGTTTGGTTTTCCAGGGATGTTGTTGTGCTAAAAACCTGCAGAATCTGCTCTTAAGCAGTCTTTAGCGAGCAACCTCCACGCATTTCTTTTAAATTATCCCCCACTATATAATCTCTAAAAAAATAAACAAACTTAAGACCTTAATGAAGATGGTAAATAAGTAACCATCCTTTTAAGCCCTCATTAGAGTAAAGCTCTTGGTTAATGATGAAATTTGTAGATAAGTGTCAACTAACGACTGTGAGTTCTACTCCCACTTGTTTGCTCTTCCACTGTATTACAGCCTTGCTAAGACCTTTCCCCTTCAGATGGTTTAGAAATCATACAAGGTATTTTTCTTCCTTGTTTTTATTGAGTTCCCTTTCTCTCAGGCATATTTCCCTGCTTTAAACTGCATTCATAACTTCACTCTGTTCAAAAGAAAGATGAATACTGTGTGCTTTCCTTTACYGTGACTCATCCATGGGTTTGCTCTTCTGTCTTCACCCTCTCCCACTCCCCACTTCCTGTCAAAAGGGAGTAAGAACCAGAAATGCTGATAAAAAAGAAAGTGTATATCTGTGTAGCTTTCAATACAACAAATCCCCTATGACAGTTTGGTTAAATGCCTGCTGGAAGTGCTCTGGAGGCACTGCCGGGGTTGTGTGATATTACTGTGTGTGCTCCGCTTTGCCCAGAGCGACCCTTGCRATGGGGAGGGGAGTGAAGGCAATGGGGTGAGCAGCAGAGAGGGCAGCAGGGCCTGGGGCTGTGACACAGCCCCACTGCAACCAGGGCTTTACAGTCACACTGACTGGGGGCTCCTTAAATTTGGGACCCTCCTGCACGTGGGCTTAGGGTCCTGTGAAGACTGGGTGCCCSCTCTGTCCTGCAGTGGCAGCAATGGGATCTGGAGCGACCCTGAAGAGGATCCATTACTGGAACCACTAGATTGAAATCTACAGCTAAATTTTTTTTGGAAATAATGGCATGAGATGGCTGCAGCTGGAAGATGACAAGGCAGTWGTGAGGAGAGGTCCCTTTGGCACTGATGATCTCCCTCTTAACAAGAATGTCAAGTACTACGCTGTGCATTCGTTCTGTGTGTTGTGTTTGTTGGCTGGGCAGAAGGCAGCCTGCAGTAGATGGTTATTTAAAGTCTTATGCTTGGTGTTGTGATGTGGGTGAAGAAGTAAAAGATAATTTTGCTCACCCTGCTGATTTGCTTTCTAGCTTTTTGAATGACATATTACACCACTGCCTGATTTTCATTAGAAGGCAAGTTTTGGATACACCTTTTAAGAGAGAAGAGCCCTCTGATTTATTCCTGCACTACTCATACAGAGCATGGATTTGCTTTTGTCTCTGTATTCAGATATATGCTTTTGCACTTGATCCAATGCCAAGGCAAATATCAAACAATACAAACCAGATGAATCTGCCAGAAGGCAATAGATACTCTCTTCTACTGTTRGTGTGAAAGATTATGAAGTTCATCATGCGTTCAGATAAAGTTTCTCTTTACAAGTAACAATGTTTTATAATTTCCTTACCTAGAATAATTTACCTAAACGCTGGAATCAAAACTTAGTGCTTGAATATACACAGATATTTTCTGTTTGTGCAGCTTAGTTTTGGTTTCTCGTTATTCTGATTAATGAAATAGTGGGCATTGTGGCTAAAGATAATGAGATTGCATGAGCTAAATCATGTTGTGGGTCTTTTGAGGCAAGGAAGAACAGAAAAGGAAAAAAACTTCTTCCCATAACTAAAGCTGAGAAAAAAAAATTTATGAAGATTGCTTGAGGTGGCTTAACCACTTTATCAGACACTCATGTGGGAATAGAGAAAAAAGCAGTAGGGAAAAATCCGCGYATTTATTTAGTGCAGAGCGTGGTAAATTATAATGGATGTTGCATAGGCTCAGATATCAGGTGTCTGACTAACAGCATGAAAGCAGCATAATTCAGACTGAACTTTATTCTCCTCCTTTATGCCCAGCTGTTGGAAAGAAGCAGACATGTGTGCAGCCTCCAGATGTTTGATGATCACTCACAAAGGGAGCAAAGGAGGGAGATATCCTATTTGTTCAATTTCATATTTTCAGATTTTGAGTTCAGTTCTTCAGTATGTTTTATGGAATTTTTGCAATGTATTTACTTTTAATGCCATTGTCTCAATATTTATGTATTGCTTATTTCCCCTTACATTTGTTGTCATTCCCCCTTTTTCTCTTGAATGAGAAGTAAAGAGGGTGAAAGTGATGGCAGGCACTCATTTAATTATKGTTTCTAGCACTGTGATGAGGTGGACATTGTCCCCAAGAAAGGATTGTACTACAGTGAGATTCCCCAGTGTCCTTTTGGAGATTTCTGGCAGAATTAWAAATGGACCTGGCTGTTCTGGTGACAGTCTRGCATAYTGTGAGTGACACACGGACCTAATGMTGGGAAGKTTGATTTTGACTTCCCACTTTSAAGTGGTGGAAAAATTCACAAGTCATTTGTTTTGCAAATTTAATTACTTACTCATGTTAGATTTTTTTTTGTTAGGATCACAATTTTGATGTTAATTATGAATTGAATGATTCTCAGTGAGCAAATTATTATTGCTAGTCAGACAGTTCTATTTTGATAACTCATTTGAGTCATATGGTTTTGTTTCTATTTTCTTTGTGTAAATCCTTCAGCACCAATARTCACATATGTCAATGTTAAAATTTTAGTAAAATTCAGATACATAAAAAGTAATTTGAAACCAACACAAGACAGTCACAGGTGTGGGTAAACTGAGCTTCTTTAAACTTTGTTTAAAGATTTATGAGTAAAGCAATTGCATTTAATAAGCTTCTTTGTAGTCTGAATTCACTTTTTAAAGTGCTGCATGTTAATATTGGACATTTTTGTTCTGGTGAAAGGTGAAATACAAAGAGCAGTTCAGCAAGGAGATGAAGAATCACCAGTACAATCCTCTGGACAGTGCTTCCTTCAGGCAAGCACAGATTGCATCCACCCTGGCAAGTGATGTAAGTTAATTTGCGTCGTATTTTATCTGCATTTACATCCAGAATAACCCAACATTTGTTCACAAGTAGAATTTCTTTTATCATCTTATGAATTATGCTGGGCTACAGTCTCTGCTATACAGTGTGCAGCAGGTACAGCATCTTATCCATTGCTTCCTCTGCTTCTGACAGAGGACCTGCAGTGTTTTTCGTAACAATTTTAGATGAGATTCATCTCTCTTAATTTTGTGTATGAAAAGGTATGACTGCTTCCTCTAGCTCATTGCCTTGTACTTGGTCCCTTTTTATTCGGGAAAGAAATGAACAGGTCTAGAGAGGGCAGTTCTGCTCTCYTGTTACAGGTGCCTGTCCTTAGAGGAGCAAAGTAATGGCACCTCTCCAGTGGGTATAGAAGGAGGTTACATGAGCAGTTCAGATCTGGATGTCTGTCTTTTAGACTTCATTCTCCTGGTTGATCWTCTCAATGTTGTTTCAAAACACAGCAGTCACCAGATTCAGCAGTGGATGTCTGCTGCTGGAGCCAGACTGGAGAAAGCATCTGTATTGAGTGATAATACTCATGGGAGATGTTTAAAAGCTTTTCAATGCTAAAAATGTGGGCTCTTCTTTGAGGTTGTGATCCCAGATAACCAAAAGACAAGCTTTCATTKGGTAGTCCAGCATTTCCAAAGTGTGGGGCACCATGCAATGGGAGTAGGAAAGATTGGCTCTGGGAAGGGTATTGAAGTTTATGTAATTATTTCCAAAATCTAAATGTGTATTAAMAAGTTAGTTGAAATAGTCATTATTATGAAAAATGGACAAATTGAAGTGAAGAACATGATACAAATGTGTAGATGACTAAAGGTATTAGTTTAAAAGATTTGCCGTCCAAGATAGATGAGGTAGCTGGTTTTCTTCCTGTAAAGTTGGGTATCCAGCTCTCAGAAGAATGGAAATCCTGCTGTAGGCTGATAAGAAGTTATCATCTGCTGCTTCATCAAGTGATTATTTTTTGTCTTAGGTCACCATATTGCTTATATTTGCTGAAAGCAACTTGTGTAAGAAAATATCCAGGAACACTTCCCTTTAGCTGCTCTATAGCAAACTTTTAAATTGGGCAGTTAGTGTAATTTCTGAAGCAGGAGAAAAAGAATAAGAATTAAAGGTATTTAAAATGAATAGACCCAAAGTATTGAGGAAGATATTCTTGATTTCAGTGGAGGGTGCAAGGGGAAGGGAGAGGAAAAAAGAAAGAAATTAATTCTAGTCTGAAAAATGATGCAAAGTGTGATTGTGTTGTAAGTGTCCTTTTTTTTKGAGGAAAAGTTTGAATAGTTCCCAAGTGCTTACTCAGCAGAATGAGTCCTATTTTGTTTTTTTCTTTTCTTTGAAATAATAGTCGATGACCACCATCTAGTGGCTGGGAGRGATTGTTCAGGCAAGCACTWAATGCTTTCCTTTTCTGGATGGCCGTATTGTATAGAGAGCTGTGAATTATTTTATTAATCTTTAGTTTGCATAACCTGAATTCTCTTTCCAGGTGAATTACAAGAAAGATTTGGGAAGCCTACATGATCCAGCGTCAGATCTACCGAACCTGCTGTATTTAAACCATGCTTTAAATATCAGCAAAACACAGAGTGATGTAAGTTGSCTTTTTAAGAATGACCTGAAAAAATGTAGTAAGGAGTATACCATGTATAGTCACCATAGGAATCACATTTTGGTATTTGCTTCATGGTCTTATATGTAGTAGGCAACAGTGTGGTAACYGTAGTAGATGAGATGTGTTTTTAGGGAGTTTTTAGGAAGACATATTTCAGTTTTTAGAACAGGTAATGTATACTGTGGAAAAATCACACAGACTTCTGATGTTGACTGTTTTTTCTCATATCTCTGAAACGTTGTCTGTTTTTTCCTTTGTTCTAAGTTCTGAAATACTTCTTTCCTCACAAATCTCATGCTAAGATCTTGCTTTCACCTGCAAGTCTCTGTACAGAAGTGACCGTTACGCTGGTTTATTATCTGGACTTTTTTTCATGAACAGCCTCTCCAGTGCTAGCTTACCTTTGCGCTTCTCTGTCTAAACTTTTTGCCCTCCTAACTGTCCGAGTCTTCGTAACTGGGTCAGACAACAGGCTCATGCATCATTCTGCCATGTAGCAAGACGTGCCTCTTGATGGGGCTGATGGTCTGCCATGTGATTGTGGTGGGGGTGAAACAGAGAGGAAGAGCTTGGAAACCCCTGGTTTCTATGCCATGATGAAGGTTATTTCCCACACTGAGAGCACCCGTGCTGTGTGCGTGGTGCCTGTAGGGTGGTCAGCTGCTTTTGTCACCAGAAACCGCTGTGGAAATGTTGTGGTGAGTGGGTGGTGCTGGGAAGGAAGGCTGCTCCATGGCTGGCAGGAGTTGAGTGTTCCACAGGCAATTCACTCCAATGAGTGGGAGCATCCTGGGTCATCTTCTGAGTCACTGCCTGCTTATGTGTGAAATAATCAAAATAATCCATTTATGCTTGATTTTTGTGTTGTGTTTTGGAGAATTGAAGCTGCTTGCTTTTTGTCTGTCTCACTTGATGTGTGAAGCTAACACTGACTGTCCTCTTTTGTGTGAGTAATAAATGAGTTGGAGTCTTTCTCTTCTTGCATTCATGTGCCTTTTGCCCAAAACTAGTTTTCTTCAGGGTGAGGTAAGACTGGCATTCTTTTCGCTGATTAGATGAAAACCCTCAGAATGAACTTCATCRATTTATCATGTTATCTCTAAGGAGATACAAACCTGGACATTCCCTTAAGATAAATTGTATCTTACACAGTAGATTTCTTTCTTTTGTCCTGGAAGGGTTGATTCATAATGTCCATTTGGTTGTCTGGGGACTCTGTAAATACTAAGGCTCTGATTTTTGCATTGTCCAGATCYTGGTGAGTATTTTATTTGCTGCCAGCAGGAAGAGAAATGTTTTGCCAGTCCCTAAGCTCTCCACTAAATGTTTGTCTTTTACAGAAATCCCATTTTCACAATCCTTCTCAGATTAGGCCTCCCCATGTCATCGCTTTTATTTAGACATGGTTTACTCTTTGCCCTTTCTCCCTGCTTTTGCAGTACATTCCTAATGTTGTCCTTGTGCCTCCACAGCTCATACCAAATCTGTCTTGTAATCTGCCACCATTGTACAAAACAATCTTCCTGGCTTCCCTGTGTTAACTGATTTCCAGAGACTGATCTTATGGTCTGGGGTTTTTTTTTTCTTTTTTTTTTTTAACTTCTGAAATACAGAGCTGCTTGCAAATTGCCCACTTGTGCTGTTTCCCTGCAGTTTACCTTTCTCCACTGAACTTTATGCTTCTCATTATCTTTTGCATAAGATAGCTGCACCTGCACCAGGGTGACAGCTTGAAACCTGTATGTTTAATTAAACTCATAAACTAATGTGGTTTGTTGAATGAATTGGTTTGCTGATTGACCTCGAGTGTGGAAATGTGTGCCGCTTTATGAAGCACTTTTACTGTAACATCAGTGCAAAGCTGTTGTACAAGTCAGTTTCCATAGGAATAAATTCCAAAGTTAAGATGAAAGTTTGATGGGCAACTTTGGACACAAATAGACTGATTTTGACAGGTCAAACTCATCCTGGTTTTATTGTTTTTATGACGAAGAAAATTATAAGGTGGAATTCTGCCTTCATATGGTATTTCCTGGTCTCAGTTGGGATGGAGGTAATTTTCTTCTTAGCTGGCACAGTGCTGTGTTTTGGWTCTAGGGTGGAAACTGCTTATTATTTTACTGTTTATTATTATTATTGTTTTTGTTGTTAGTGCTAAACCTACTATGAAATTTTATTTTATTTAAATTATTACACTGTTCTTATCTCAAACTGCAAGTTTTCTCACTTTTAGCCTTCTGATTCTCTCCCCCATCCCACTGGGGTAAATTGTGTGAGCAGCTGTGTGGGGCTTAGTTGCTGGCTGTGGTTAAACCACATAAACTATGGAGATATAACATTTAACATTTTGATGTATGTATAAGAGCTAATTCAATGTTTTTTCACATTTTAAATCTGTTCCTGYTGTAGAGACTTTGAGATGCTAATGAAAAACAGGCTAAAAAAAGGGAAACTTAGATGTATTTCATTTTAAGGAACAGGGTGAATAAATAGAACTTGAGAGACTGAATCTGGGCCTTGTAGTTTAGTTTAATGAAGCGAAAAATTTGGAGATTTACCTAATCTGATTTAAAAAAAAAAATTGTTCCATTAGCTGAGGGATGGAGTAGAATTATGAGACAAATATCTGTAGATGGAGGTAATTTTAATTTGTTTCCACTATAGAAGGGATTTTGTTGTGTGACATTTATAATTCTTTCCACTAGGAGGCAAACCCAGACCATCATATGTGTTCCTTTGCATTTCAGGTGGAAACAAGAATGTTTATTTTCTATTGATCATAAACTTTCTACTTTTAGGTTAGCAGGACAAACATTTTTTCTAGAAATGGAAAAAAGTTATTTTTTATCATACCCTGTTAAAAAAAATTCATCACAACATTTTAAATTCAAATTTGACAGAACTCCCCAGTTTGACGGACTAAAATATAACTTCTTCTGTGTTTGTTCTTTCATAGTTATTTTAAATAGTATTTAAATTCCAAAATCTTCTGGATTTTGCCTGTAAAAACGTTCTTGGAAATTTTTTGTTTCAGTATGAATATAAGAAATGACTTAAGCAAAGAAAGTGTTTCTGTCATTTCAGCCCAGACACTGCAGAACAAATCCATCTCAAAAAAAAAATGCAGTGCTTCAAAGTCAGGTATACACAACCACAAACAAACACATTCTGCAAAGAGCAAAATGCAGCATTAAATCATGCACAAAACCACATGATACATTACAGTGATGTACAGTGCACATTCAATCAGAAGCACCCCATGAGGAGAGAGGAGTATCTTTGCAGGACCCAAGCCTAATGCAGAAGCCTGACAGGGAAAGAGAAATTCAGACATCAGTATTTTTGAAGAGACATATAAAGTAAAATTCCATTACTCATTAGAAGTGTAATATTWTTATTTGTAGCTTTTTTTTCTTTCCTTTAAGGCTTGTATAGACTGTTCCATCACACCCCACACTGACTGATGGAGATAAGTAATGTTTTTGCYAGTCTTAATCAAATGAGTGTGAATGAGTGAGTTCAGAAGGCTTCTCCAGGTTTCCAAACAAAGTATATTTACTTTGTAAGTTAGCATAAAGGTATAAGTTGATGTCTTAACCCCATGTCCTTCCATGTGATTTTGCTGCTARCTTTAAGGTCACGGTCCCTGGTAGCTGTGAGGGGAATGTTGGTGCAAGTCTGGACCCTACAGAGGCAGTAGTTTTCCTTCCCTTCTCCCTCCTGCGGGTACAAACAAAAGTGCATTTGAGAATGGTGCTTCTGAGCCTGAAACAAAGGCCTCTGGGGCCTGGCTGTGAAACAGATTTTGTTGTTGTTACAGTAAATGTGTTGTTTTATGGAAACATAGCAGGGGATCCTCTTAAAAACTGCCAACTGTTCAGACATCGATCATTTGGCCAAAGTCACGCRATTAATTTAAGGATTGTGATTGATGCTCATCATTCCTGCTGTCTTCAAAGTTCACAATTCTAAATCTGATTTTTGTAGAAAAGGAATAAATGACTCCAGAAAAAATACTTTATCTAACTGCCGTATTTCTCCAACAGGTTAAGTTTGGGAGGGGTCTTCCAAGTCAAAACATCTAAGGAGGATGGCTAAGACAGAATTTGTTTCTTGCCGAGGCAAACAATCAGACCTCATATACTCTCAGCTSTTAACAGACTTTATTTTACTTTTCCTAGGTCAAGTACAAAGAAAATTATGAAAAATCTAAAGGCAGGTCGATGTTGGAGTTTGTGGATACACCAATGTATCAAGTTTCAAAGGAGGCTCAAAAGATGCAAAGTGATGTAAGTAAAAATGTGTTTTTGAACAAGTGAAATTTAGATGAACAGAGAGGTTAACAGACATCCTCTACTCAGGTTAAGAAAATGTACAAAGCAGAGAGTAAATTGAGGATACAATAGAATTATACCGAGTAGTTATTTCTTGTGTTCTGTAGCTCAGTTCCTCCTGTGAATTTGTTTTTTTTCTCAAAAGGACATTGGTGCTAACACTAGACAGAGATTCTATGTCTCATAATCTAATTGAGAAGAAGCTCAAGCGGTCATCTAGATCAGAGATTAATAACTTTTTAAATTTTCCCTTTAATTTCGTCTTTAGGGAGGGATGGTTCTCAYGTGGGAGCAAGTGAAACCACAAACCCCAGCCCAAGCCCATGATTTAACTGGGGTTTAACTGCTGCCTGTCCAGCCTGGGAAACTCATCAATGGGGAAGGACTGTTCCCAGGCTCCAGAGCAGTGCTGCCTGTCCTATATCAAGCCATGTTTTTCTAACTTTTTAAAAAAGAAAACTTCCACTAATGGAGATTTTGTGACCTCCCCGACAATCTAGTCCAGTGCTTTTCYATCCGTCCTGAGTGAGATGGGTGCACCTCTGTCCCCACGCTGCAGTTTGGTTCCGTTAGTTTTGCTGTGTCATGGAAAACAGATGATCTCAGCCTCTTGGTAGAAAGTTTAATGAGTTTCAAACCATTACCTTGTGTGTCATTTATCTTTTCTCTACCAAACAAACTGTTTCTTTCATAGATCAGGTTCAGCATTCTCTTTGGACATACATATATTTTTGTCTAGATGGTATCTGTTTATATAAATAATCTAGATAAAGAAATGCATGATGAAGGTGCTTATTAATGTGATAATTAATTAATGCCAGGGCTCATTTCTGAGTCTATTTACAATGCCTCTTCTGAAATATGCTTGGAATTGCAAATGTATGTWCCACTAATTATTTGATTTGCCACATTAGAAAATGTATCGCAAAGATTTTGAAGAAGAGATCAAGGGAAGACCCTCACTGGATTTAGACAAGACCCCAGAGTTCTTGCATATAAAACAAGTCACTAATCTTCTGAAAGAGGTAAAGGATTTTTATTTATGTTTTCTGTTGTTAAGTTGTAAACAAACAATAAGCAGCATCACTATAAGCTGCTGAGTGCTGAATWACTTGAAATTTTCTTGATAGCTAAATACATGTCACTTCATGTGCAAAAATTGCTTCACATCATTTTGTACTTGGAATAGTCCTGTATTAAGGAAATTATAAAGCTCAGCACACCTGAACCAGAATATCAGTTCTCTTTTCCAATAGATAAAGGGATGGAAAGAAAGATTTCTGTTGGTTCCCAAATGGCTGTTGTTCACTTGGAGTACTGCATAGAGTTAACTAATTTAATTGAAATAATTATCGTCATACGTTTTATGGATGAAAATAAAGAAGTCCAAAATTCCATAATATAGTTGTAATATTACATAATTGCTTTAAGTCCATTTTGTTAGAAGGTTTTCTGTAGGCCCACTCTTTCTTTAAGATTTATGACATTCTTCACTTGTATGTGTCATTACAAATTGAATAATTTTTTTCCATAACTGAGAATCCTTCAATCTTCGGTATTTTTGTATTGTTATTTAAAACTGATTTCATGTTATTTTTTGAGTATTGGTTTGTTCTATGGATTATGGTTACTATTTGGCCAAATTTAGAAGGGCTAGGACTGCTAGAAGAGAAGAGCAGGGTTGCTAGGTATGCTGCCTTTAGATCTGGGAGCCAACAATAACTTGTTTGTATTTATGGTATTAATAATGGATTTTTTTTCCAAAACAAATAAAGCACGTTAGAATTAAAAAAACCATGGACTTTGTTTCTTTCCTTGTTCTTTATACAACTTCTCCCAGTGGATGCTAGGTTTCATATGGTTAAAGAAAAAAAAAAAAACCTCTTTAAATTCATCCTCATTTCTTTATTATTCATCCTCTAGTAAGTAATTTATTCTGGTAAGCCTGACTGTCAGGTGGGCAAGTCTCAAACTAGGTTTATTTTTTGCAGTAGCTTTCTGTGGTACCTCTCATGTATGGCATCTCACTAGGGAAAAATGCAAATGCTGTCAATTCACTCAGTTAATCTCACTGCTTGCTGAATGCCCAAAGAAGTGGGTCCTGTATGCRCAGTTGTAACATGTGCTCTAAATGTTCATCTTTGGAAATTTTGATGTAGCTCCCCTCCTYAGTGCCATGTGCATTAAGATGTTCTCCAATTCTGACCTCAAGTTTTATGCATCCTTATTTAAGGAGTAAACCATGCTTGTAAGTCAAAGGGGAAGCAAAAGAGAAAATGGAAKTGGTGTTTTAATGCATAACTGCATGAATTTCATATGGTTATGTATCCATATTCAAGGAACATATTCCAAATCCAAATATTATCTAGGTCAAATTAATTATTATCTTTCATGATTTAGAAAAATTATGTATTTCTTCATAGTGAAGGTTGTAGCTCAGTGTTTTTACCTAGAGGTCCATAATAAACTTTGAATGAATACTTCATGAAAAAAGAGGAAAAACCTGGAGTTACTTAAAAATGAATTAGTTATTCAATTGTATATTTTTTAACCCAAATGTTAGCTGTGTTCCAGCTTATTCTGTAGAAAATTCTGAAAATATTTCACATGTTGTAACAATATGAACTTTCTTCTCTGGGACGGCGTTCACAACTCCTTCAAAAGAGATAGCTGAATTAAATAGTTCTAAAGTAGAAGAAATTGTTTCCTGATTGTTGTAGGACATGCTTCTGATGATCAAGAGAAGCTTCTTTAAAAATAACTGGTTTCCTTTTATTTAAATAAAGAGCTTTATAGGAAGGTAAAGGTGCTTATTGCTGCCTATGAAATTTAATATGTAATTAGGGGTATTAATTAATGTCTATGTAAATCMTTCTGATAAATATTTTGTGCAATGTTCTTCTAGTTGCTTTGCTTAAAAAAGCCTGACCCTCAYCTGGAGATGGGGAGAATAATTACAAATCCTTACAAAACTTAAAGATCTATAACTTCAGTAGGGTTACATGAGCTCTCTAGGAGGTGGGCAGAGCAAAAAAMCAAAATGTCTGTGGCCAGATTCTAGTGTGCTTTGAATTTTATACAGAACATTTCAGTACTCTGGAGGCTGCACCTGCTGAATGTTGATAGATCATACCAGTGCAGTGTCCAGGAGGCACAGGAGTGATATGGTAGGAATATTGCTTCTACATTTGAATTCATCAMGAGGTTGTTTTAACAGGTCCTAGTATGGTGTTTAGGGAATCCATCCTGATTGGGATGCCATTAATGGAACCAAGGTAAAAAACTACAGTACAGCATATACTGGTCTGCAGAAAGAAAATGCTACTGCAGTTAAAATGCTGGTCCAGAGACAGCCAAGGCRCCTTAACAGTGTTCTAGTGCTGTATGGGACTGCTGTTCAAGAGCACGACAAAATTGATGACGACATTAAATTATTTTTATTTTTTCAGCTTTGTTCCTTTTGATTTCACTATTTCTAATTCTATTTTAAGTCTGAAATCTGTACTTCAGATAATTCATATTTCATGGTAGTTTCAAAGAGACTCTTCAGATGTTTAATAAGTAGCGTTTCTTTTCAAGATCTTGCACAAAATATGAAGTGGTGAAATCTYRTTTTTTCTCTWTTTTTTTTGGAAATCCTTAGAAAGAGTATCGAAAAGATTTGGAAGAAGGGGTGAAAGGAAAAGGAATGACAGTGTTTGAAGATACACCAGATTTGATTAGAGTGAAAAATGCAGCTCAGATACTAAATGAGGTATGTTATGCTAGTCACAGTTATTAATATCACAGAAGGTTCACTTTATGTTAAACTCAAAAGATTATTTTTTTTTACACAATCTACAATTAAATGTGTAAGTATTGGAGCCAAAATTATTTGTCTTTTGCTTGAAAAATGCAGTACAATTCTGAATAAAAAACAAGTTGGGACAAATAATTCAGAAGGGACATTTTTAAATGGTGGGTATTTACTTTGAAAAAAAGAGTTTTCCTCAGGCAGAGATGAACTAGAATAGAAAAAAGGGTGATTACTACTATAGTAGTAGAAATAGCACCACTGAGAAGACTTTTTAAGAAAAAAAAAAAGTACAACTATTGTATACAATATTTCCATACTACTTTTTAATATAATTTGCAGATGAACAACGAACATCTCCTTGCTTGGATAAGCTGAAGATGAAATATTAATTTTGTTTTCAGGKTATTGGTTATTTATAATTTATGTTGTGAGGAAAAAGCAGCAATCATGGATGAGGACTGCCGCTTGCCTAATGGCTACGGTTCAGGAAAGACCTATTAAATGAATAAATTACAGCTTCCTCATCTGGAAGTTCACTGGAAGCAATTCTGTATGGTATTAAATTTCTAACRTGTAGTCTTGTCATAAATAAAATATTTTCTTAAAAGTAAAATGTGTTTCAATTAGGCTGACACCAAGTACCAACTTACTACACCATGTTGTGCAGAGCTGAACTTCCCCTTTAGTTTAGAGGATAATTGTAGCAAGCTGTATGGGCTGATTTCCTCTCACTCTCTGCCATATTAACAATTCATTGATACAGGTTTGTACATTCAGTGAATATCTTCTAAAAGTTTTCCTCCTGTAGTTTGTTATGTGTTCTTTTCCTGACAGCAGCTTGCCAAGGATTTTGGGAGCTGTGACTCCTAACTTGAGAGTTTTGATTAACTCTAAATCCTAAAACTCAATGTCTTGTGGAAAAAAAAAATCTACCTGTAACTCTTTGGATTCTGTGAATATAATGTGTAGGTTCTGTCTTCACAGAGGCAATACAAGAAAGACTTGGAAACTGAAATTAAAGGGAAAGGGATGGATGTTGGCCCAGACACACCTGAGATCAGACGAGCCAAGAAAGCTTCTGAAATTGCAAGCATGGTCAGTACTGTTCCTGGGACAAGCTTTCCATTTGACAGAATGCAACAAATTATTGTGATTGAGAATTACAGGTGGTGACCAATCTAGGGAGTAGCAAAAGCACAGATTTCTCCAAATAGCTAATCCACTGAGCTGCAGAGAGTCTGACAGTTGGATAATCAGTGTTTCAAGGGGGAAAAGTTAAGCCTTGCCAGAACTTGGACCTTTCCATCACCTTTTGCAGGCTGTGCTTGTTCCTCGTGGGCCATGCCTGCCTTGGGATGTGTTTAATCACCGTAGATTCTGCTGCTTTTAGGTCTAAATAGCTGCTTATTTAGTTAGGACCAAAAGCAGGGTCAGAGAGATGCTAAAGCATTATGACCTCAGTCTTGCAAAGCACAGCAGAGGGAGAAATTTTCATCTATGTGGGTCTGATTGCAGCTGTCAAAATTGCAGATTTGACAGATGTGAAAGACTACATCCGATCTCAAGTGAGCAGTCTGTTAAAAGAGTTTTTTAAGCCATCAGCAGCTACAGTGTAGGCATTGCATGGATAGATTTACACAACTACTACTCTCAAATCATTAGCTATTTGGAGGTTTGTGAATGTTGGTCAGTGAAATTGCACAGATTAAATTGGGAACCATTTAAGAATTTGGCTGTCAGATGTGAGTATTTCCAATGTTATTCTTTTCAGAAAGAATACAAGAAAGACTTGGAGAATGAAATTAAAGGAAAGGGAATGGAAGTGGGTAGGGATACCCTTGACATACAACGAGCCAAAAAAGCTTCTGAAATTGTCAGCCAGGTGAGTACAGGATAAATTGCTTTAAGATTACTTTGAAAGCAAAACACATTGAGGTGTTAAAACTATAAAATCTTCTTGAACATTCTTAAGCTAAAAAAAGCAAGYAGTGCACAATAAAAATATTAAATTAAAGAAATTGAGGAATTTATGGTCTGACTAGGACTATAAGAATAGCTTTGAAGACAGCATKTACAGACAGTTGTAGTATTAGTTATGGTTTTTCCCCCTTTATTTTTTCTTCAGAAAGAATATARAAAGGATCTGGAGACTGAAATTATAGGAAGAGGGATGCAAGTTGGTCCATACACTCCAGAAATACAACGGGTCAAAAGGGCTTCAGAAATAGCAAGCCAGGTAGACATCATCAAAACCTGAATGTTTTAATTCTGTGTAACAGTGAGTGCTTAACATATGTTGCTCAAAATACCTTTCTAGCTCTCTAGAGGATTTCATACCCATGCAAAATGAATTTACATGTAGTAAAATGCCTTAACTGCCTGATTCTTAATTGAATTTAGTCCTCTTACACCATGTAAATTGAATTTAATGGTTTACATCTACATGTAGTTCTTTTTACATTACCTAATTACCTAATGTTATATTACCTACATACTGACAGTGAAAATATATACATACAATATGTATGAAGATATATATGAGGCTGTATTATATATATGTATATTATGTATTTTGTAGTGTGGGGAACAGTGGTGGGTGTCCCATTCAGACAATGGTAACAGTATCATGGAGAAGAGAGGTTTAGAGAAACACTGAACAGAGATGAGGAGGTTCATCAGCAATGAACATCTTTTKTGCAGTTTGGACATCCTGAGCCTCAAAAACAGGAAGTAGACGTTTAAATTTTTTTTTTTTTTTTTCAGAAAATGTACAAAGATGAAGCGGAGAAGATGCTCTGTAACTATTCTGCTGTCCCAGACACTCCYGAGATGGAGAGGATAAGAAGTACTCAGAAAAACATCAGTTCAGTGAGTAATAGTKCTTCTCTCTTTGCTTGTAACTTTTCATGTATTTTTCAGTTTAAACAGCCTCTCTTGTGCCACAGCATGAAATAAGGAACTTATGAGTAAAAGTCCTTTGAACCATTTGCATAATTTTCCTGGCAAAAGCTGTATCAATCATTTCTTTCAGTAAAAAMAATACTCAAATTTTCTAAGTGTGACAGTGTTATTTTGGATTTCTAAACCACTTATACCATCTTGCCAAGCCACAGTTATGTTTAAATGAAGTTTTTTTTCTTTTTCCATCAAGCCCCAGGAAGTACTTTATTTAAAAGGGAAAAAAGAAGACTAAAGCTTCTTACTCTACATATAAGATTTTTCATCTGTTTCCTATCATATGTATTGAGCATCAAGACTAGGGTATAAAATTAGAACAGATCAAATTTCATAAATACATATAATGATTTTGTGTTATACTGGGTATATTTTTAAATTTTATGCTAGATTTAAGTTTCAGTTTATCCCTAAATATAAATTATGAGCTTAGATTTCTAAAATTGCCGAGTTTGGGACATATTAAGTTCCACTTCCTTTTTGGGCCCATTAATGCTGCTGTTTGTAATTCTGCCTTTGCTTGTAATAGAACAGAGAAGAGGAGTAAATCTACCCTGCAGAACAAAAGGCTGGTTAGTGGCTGTTTTTTATGTCAGACTAAGTAGTACTAATAAAGCCAATGACTTGAGAGAAGGGAGTATAAGTTACTTAAATATTTTTAGCATTTTCTGACACACATGTTWTTCAACTTAGAGATATCCTCAGCTTCTCCTGCTCTCAGCAGTACGAGCTCAGAGAGTTTCTCCCAGAGGTGTTTGCCTGCAGCTCTCCCTCACAGCTGAGSCTTCTGCAGGGCAGTGAGAGGCTGTGGGGAGAGCAGAGGAGGCTCMTCTGAGCCTGCCCTGGGCTCTGGGCACTCCTGTAGCACCTCCAGCCATTACCTGCTCTTTTGCTTCCTTTGGATGAGGACAGCAGAAAGCCACATCTTCCTAGCAGGAGCTCTTGACAGGCCCAGTGWCCCAATTTTTGCTTCCTGTCATCTGTTGGCTGCTGGTTTTGAGTGGTGCTCTGCAGCACAGAGTGATGGTGATTATCACCATTTCTCATGTCACTGCTGTCCGAGCAGGCTGGGCTGACACTCCCTGAGCAGAGGGATTCCAGCTCGCCTCTGGGATCTRCTTTCCTCCTTCTCCAGCCTTTGATAGCTTTTGATGAAGTCCTCAAATAGGTCAGTGGCCCTGGCTGTGTGGACTCACTCACAGTTAGGTACCAGGCTTAATTAAGATAAGCATCACTGCTTAATTAAGCCTTGACAAGCCTCTGACACATCTGAACCCCTGGCAGCCCTGCAGGCCAGTGTGAGCTTTCAGTGCCAAGGCTGACGATTATCCTCTTTGCTAAAAGAGTTCTAGATAATAAGAAATAAAGTATTTTGTCTTTGAGGTGATTTRTATTTGCTTTCTTTTGTGATTGTCCTGTTTCTGTTTGTGAACTGGATCCTTCAAATGTAGGAAAGCAGTTTATAGCTGTGATTGAACTACTTTTTT